TGTCGTTGGATGGATCAATGAAAATCTACCCCTCCAAAAACCCCACTAACCACCACCATCGTCCCACCCCCACCACTTCTCTTTAATGCCAAGTCATCCCCACTTTTTCAATCTCAACACAGAAAACCACCCACTCTTCCATGACCAGGAGAAACATTGGTACCATACCGCGCCACTCTTTACTATCTTTACCTGAAAACGTTGGCCTGCGGTTAAATCCCGACCATACCCCATACAAGTAAGCTCGTCCGCATTAACAAACAAAAAAAAATAAAAAAATTTTCAATAAAAAAAAATTAAAATTTTACAAATTCTCTAATAACGATTTTTGTTTATCTAATTGAAAAATTATTTTTTTAATACCAATTTGTACATTGAGAATTTTATTTTACATATAAAATAAATCATTCCGGAAAATGAGACGAAAGTCGTTTTCGATTCGAGGAAACGGAACGGGGTTAAGAAACGGGGCAAGAAAGAGGGAGAGAGGAGGATTGAGTAGAAGGGTATAGGCTAGAAAGTAAGGAATAAGGTACATTTTACTCTAGAAGGGAAACCACTATGGGAAATGGATTTTTAATTATTTATTCTCTACTTTATCGTTATTTCGATTAATAATCTGGAAAATGGAAATTATTTCATTAACTAATGAATAATTATACTAAAAATCGTATAGGGTACTTCTTTCTCGAATTTTATTATAGTTTCTCTTTTCAAAAAGTAATGACACTAATTCTGTAAAAAGTTATTTGAAAAAAGGTTCCCAACCTATTCTGAACTTGTTTTAAACTTGTTCGAAATACGTTTTTCACTAATACCGGTTTCGAACTAGTTCTAAACTTGTACAAAATATGTTATGAACTTGTCCACGCCTTGTTTTGAACTAGTTCGAAAACTATTCTAAACTTGTTTTAAACTAGTTTAAAAAAAACTATTCTAAACTGGTCCCGAACTAGTTCCTTACTTGTACGTAACATGTTACGAACTTGTCAGTACCTTTTTTAAACTAGTTGAAAATCTATTATAAACTTGTCGCAAACTAGTTCTTAACTTGTACGAAACAATTTCTCAATTTGTCCACGACTTGTTCTGAACTTGTTCATAAACGTTATTCGTAAACGTGTTTCAAAATTATTCTGAACATGTTTCAAACTTGTTCGAAATAAATTCAAAGTAGTTCCAAACCAGTTTTAAATAGTTCTGAACTTGTCCAAACAATATTTTGAACTTATTTTAAACTCGTTCAAAACACAATATGAAACAATTTTAAACTGTTCTAAACTTGTTCAAAACACGTTCTGAACCTGTTTTAATACATTCTGAACTTGATCCTAAGCTAATTCTAAACTTGTATGAAATATGTTATGAACTAGTCCACGCCTTATTTTGAACTAGTTCAATAACTATTCGAAACTTGTTTCAAACTTGTTAAAAAACTATTCTAAACTTGTTTTAAACTAGTTAAAAACTATTCCAAATCCGTTTTCAACTGGTTGAAAACTATTATAAACTTGTTCTGAACTTGTCTAAAAATAATTATAATCTCATTTAATAATTTTTTATTGTCCGAAACAACGTTCTGATCTAGTTTAATACTGGTGCCAAACTAGCTCTTAACTTGTACGAAACAATTTCCGAATATGTCCATAACTTGTTCTGAACTTGTTCAAATACGTTGTTCGTAAACCTGTTTCAAAATTATTCTGGACTTGTTTCAAACTTGTTCGAAATAGGTCCAAAGGAATTCTAAACCAGTTTTAAACAGTTCTGAACTTGTCCAAACAATGTTCAAAACCTATTTAGATTTGCAGAAAACAAGTTCTGAAATTGTCCAAACATTCGTTTAAACCAGTTTTAAAGAACTTGTCCAAAACCATGTTCAAAACAAGTTCTGAATTGTCGAAAACAAGTTTTGAAGTTGTCCAAACGTGAAAACTTATTTTGAACTTGTTCCCAACTTGTACAAAACACGTTCAACATAAGTAAAAAAACTCGACTATAAAATAGTTTTAAACATTTCTAAATTTGTACAAAACAGGCTCTGAACTTGTCCATACATTATTTGAAACAAGTTCAAAACATATTCTGAACTGGTTACAAACTTGATGGAAAGATGACCAAAGTAGTTCTCAAACAAGTTTTAAGTCGTTCTAAACTTGTCCAAACAATAATTGTAACTAGTTTGAAATTTATTCTGAACTTGTTCTAAATTTGTACAAAACACGTTCAAAATAAGTCCAGAACACTTGTAAACAAGTTTCAGATAGTTTTGAACTGGTACTAAGGGGCCGATCAAAAAATACGTAACGCTTTAGGGGGGAGGGGGGTCAAGCTATTTGTTACGGTCAGCAGAAAAAATGGCGCTAATGTATACAACATTGCGTTACATGGGGGGAGGGGGGGGGTCCAAATTTCCGAAAAATAACGTTACGTATTTTTTGAACGGCCCCTAAACATGTTTAAAATAAGTTCAAAATAAATGTAAACCAGATTCAGACAGTCTAAAAGTTAATCGAAACATGTTATGAACTTGTCCACGCCTCATTTTAAAATTGTTAAAAAAACTATTCTAAACTTGTTTTAAACTAGTTTAAAAAAACTATTCTAAACTTGTTCTAAACCAGTTTTAAACAGTTCTGAACTTGTTCAAACAATGTTTTGAACTTGTTCGAACCTTATTCTGAACTTATTTAAAACTACTTGGGGGTTTTCAAGGTCGCTGATTACGAATATGAAATCAGTTTTTTAAAATTCAAAATGGCGGATCCAATATGGCGGACGAATTTTTAAAAAGTGATCGGATTCGTTTGAAATTTGTTACTCGGGGGGTTTTTAGTGTCGTTGATTACGAATATGAAATCAGTTTTTCTAAATTCAAAATGGCGGATCCAATATGGAAAACAAATTTTTAAAAACTTGTTGGTTTTTTAAAAAAAACTAAATTTTTGATAGTAAAATGATACAACAATAATAAAAATAATGTTTGTTTTTGACTTTTATAATTAATATTATTTTTATTATTATTTATAAATATTTTTTTTGAATTATTATATTTATTAATAATAAGAATATTGTTAGTGTCATAAAATATTGTTAGTTTCCATTATTATTTGTGCATTTTAATAATGAAAACCTTTGTGGATTTAATAGGAGAATATGAGAGTGAGGTAAAAGGAAGACCTTAGGCGATACATAATGCAAATTAGAGCTACCCGGTCGTATTGCATTTTATTATGGCAGCGTAGCCAATAACAAGATGCTTTTTAAATTGAAATTTATTTACACAAAATTGTATATTATTATTTTTAATTTGTTTTTAAACTTATTTATAAAATAAATTTATTTATTTATTATATTAATTCAAAATTATGTATTTGTTGCTAGTAGGTCTAATAAATATTTTAAATAAATAAAAAGAATTGAGCTATTTTTGCATTAATTATTTATTAATAATATTGAAATTTAAATAAATAAAAAGAAATATTTATTATGAATATTTTTTTAATTAATTACTATGTACGTATAATAATTATTTTACTGGATTAAGTTAAGCTTTTGAGGTTTAATTCCCCTTGGAGTTTAAATGTTATTAATTAATAATTTTATAACATTTATTTTATTATTATATGAAAAATAATGAATAAACAATAAATTTTATAATTAAATATACGATGGTACGAATTTCTTATTTCTTAATATTATTAATAATTAATAGTTAAATAAATAAGTATAATTATTTAATTAATTAAATAAGTTTGAAATTTATTGAACTGATTAATTTTTTTTGAAAAATCAAAATAAAAAAAATGCTTTTTTGAAAGGAAAAATAACCAAAATATTTAAAAAGGTAAAGAACGAGATTCACTTTAAATAAAGAATAAACTACCAAATTACCTATTAAAATAAAATCGTGACATTTTGTTTTTTAATTATTTTAAAAATACCTCTTAACCTCTTTTCAATATTTAAATATTACTGAGAATTATTTTTTTTTCTTTTTAAGAAAAAAAAAGAAAAACTTTAGTGCAGTGGAAATAAAATTGTACAACCCAAATGATAAAATCATCGTAATTCTTTAACCTACACTGCATACCTATTGGGAATGAATATTAACACGCAAAGAGCACGCGAGTGCTTTTATCATATTATGTATGCAGAAAAAACAAAATAAAAAGGGGAAAAAAAAAATTATTCCATTTGTCTCAAATTTTTTAACAATAATTTTTTTTTCAAATTTTTATTTCTTGCATGTTTTGCCATTTTATTTGATTTTAAAAAAATTATTTATTCAAATTGAAAATCAGAGGTTTTTATTTGAAAAGGAAAAACGAAAAGGTAAAAATTGAAATTGTAAAATAAAATAATAAAAAAAGGAAAAAATAGTATAGGTACAAACAGCAAAATGTGTAAACAAATTTTTAATGGGAACCGTCCTCTTTTTTTCTTTTAGATTGAAAAGAAAAATAAATATGTAAAATATAGTTTTAAAAATGAAAAATATTAGGTAATTTTTATTTCCTAAATTTTAATTATTTTTATGGAAAAAAGTTTTAATTTTTTTTTTTTTTTTTTTTTTGAATCTAAGAAAAGAGTAAAGTTAGGAAATTATAAAAATTATACCGAAAATTTATTACGAGAAATAGTTTTAAAAATAATTGAAAATATTATAGAACGACTAGAATATTTTTAAAATATTTGAAAAATATGTTTCGAATGTTTTGAGATTGTTAAGAATATATTTTTAAATATTTAAAGAATACAAGAGAATATTTAAATAACTATAGATATTTAATTATAATTATTTACAGAAAATTTTCCAGTTAAACTGCAACTCTACATATTTTTTAATTAATTCGAATGAAAAAATTTGTTTAAATTTTCAATTTTAAATATGAATTTGAAAGAAAAATTTATTAAAAATTCAATTTTAAATGAATTTTAAAGGAAAATTTATTAAATTTTTAATTTTAAATGAATTTTAAAGAAAAATTTACTAAAAATTTTATATCAAAATGTTTAATTTTTTTCGTACACAAAGTACAAAATAATTTCTCGTCATTTTCTAATTGTGAAATAAAATAAAAAGTAAATTCTGAATTCTTCTTTCAAGTGAAAAAAACTCCTTTTTTTAAAAAAAACGATCATTATTCAAAGTTTTAACTACAAAAAAAAAAAGAAAAAAAATTTATGGAAAAAGTAATATTAATGATGATAATAATAATAGTTTCAAATATAATTTACGGCTTACGTTATTATTTTTGAATAATAAAAAAAGAAAAATCATTATCGACTCTGTACCGCTGCCTCTTTTCTCGCTGCGTCCTGCAATAATTGTGTATCAATATCGTCACCAGGAAGTTGAACATATCTAACGACCGATCCACGGATAAAACAGTTTTTCACCGACATCTGTAAAAAGAAAATTTTATTTTACGTCTTTTTAAAATAAATTTTAAAAAAATATGAATAAAAATAAATATTTTACTTTTCACAAAATGTAAAGAAATATTTTAATTTTTACTAAATGTAAATAAATATTTTATTTTTTACTAAATATAAATAACTAAATATTTTTATCTTTCAGTTTTTATTCAATATTATTGAATTGTTATTATTTTATTTTTTTAATTTTATTATTATTATATTGTTTATAATTATTATAATAATTATTGTATTAGTTTTTATTTTATTTTTGTTATATTTTAATGAATTAATGATTTTTTCAAAAAAATTTATAATTATAAATATTTATAAAGGCCTAAATATTTTTAGTCTATTACAATAAAGGGAAATATTTATTTATAATTAATATAACAATTATTGTAGTAGTTTTTATTTTATTTTTATATTTTAATGAATTAATGCCATTTTCAAAAAATTTTCTAATGATAAAGACCTAAATATTTTTTTCCTTTTTGTTATGAAAAAATTATTAGAAAATAGGGAAATATTTCTTTTTTTGTTTTTTCTTACCATGTGAGGATATTTTTCAGGATCCGTGACGCTGATGTCAGTTAATTTAATATTTAAATACTGATCCACCGAATGTAACGTTCCTTGAATACTAAAGAAAAAAAAGAAAAATTTATTTAAAACTTGAAAAAAATAGAAACTTTAATTTTACAGATTTTTTTTTTTTTAATATTTTTTTTCTCTCTTACCTGAGATCATTTTTTAATTCGACAACAACATCTTTGCCAATAAGCGATTTGAAAAACGAGTAGAATAACTGAAAAAGTAAATTTTTTTTAAACAATTTTTAATAGTTTTTAACAGTTTTTCTTACTTTGATAATAACTTCAATTCTAAATTTTTATCAAATTCAATTATTTTCCAAATTTTTAGTTAGAATATTCTTCAAACATTCGATTAATTTTTAAAAATAATTTTTACAAGTGGAAAAATAAATTTTTTTTTAATACAAAATTTATTTCAATTAAATTTGACAAAATTTCCAATTGAGAATTTCTTTGAATTTTTTTTAAATAATCGATTTTGTTAAAAATTTGTAATTAATAATTTTATTATTAAAGTTTATTAAAATATTGTTAAAAAGTTGAAATCTTTTGAAGAAGTTTTATCAGATTTTTCGAGAAAATAATATTCAATTTTTTGACTAAATTCTTTAAATCTATTAAAAAATAAACTAATTTTTTTTTTTAAATTTTAATTGAAAATTTAGTTTTTATTTAAATTTTGAAATTAATAAAAGTTTTTCAAAAAAATTTCTCTCAAGTTTTTAAAATATAATCGTTTTTTGTTAATAATTGTAAATAAAAAATTATATTAAAATTTTTCAGAAATAATTGAATTCCTGATAAGAATTTTTTTATTAATAAAAATAATAAAATTCTTATGAAGAATTTTATATTAAAATTTTTGAAAATCGATTTTTTCGAGAAAGTTATTAAAGTTATTAAAATTGTATTGAAAATTATTGAATTCCTGTGAAGAATTTTATTATTTATGAAAATAATTAAATTTTATTAATTTTTTTATACAATTGAATTCCTTTGAAAATAGTTTATTTTTGTATTGCCAATCCTTGTGATTAAGGGCTCCGATTGAAATAAATTAAAAATAATAAATAAATATAATTTTTCTTTTGCAATAAATGTAAATTGCCGGGAAAATTGTCGGAATGTTTATCTAACCTTAAAATTCGGAAAATTAATTTTATACGATTAACTTTAAGGTATTATCGGTATTATACGAAAAAAATGATTAAATTCGTGGAATAATTAATAAATTTTTGGTTTCTCTGCATTCTATTCATTATTATTGCCTTTTAAAAATGTTATAAACGTTAAAAACAAAAAATGTTGAGGTTATGTTACGAAAAAACATTGAAACGAAAAGGCGATACTCACCATTTTTTCTGTGTTGTTGTACTTGTGATGTATTAAAAAAACGAGAAATCTACGTAAACTAGAGAATTATTTACTTTCTTTTACTCAACTACTTTTTTTCTCTCAAAAAAGATCTAAACAAAACTTAACAAACAAAACGTTTCGTCATTTCGTGTTTTCGGTCCATATATTCGATTTTCGTTATTCCTTATTCGTATTACTTCGGTAATTTTCGGTTTCGATTTCTAAAGTCGTAATCACACGCAAAGGGAAAAATGCAATTGGCAAATTGAGACTATTGACCAAAGGGACACAGCTTTAAAAAATTCGACAATATTTCCCAGCTGTCGAAATAATTATCGACCAATGAGAAAAGAGAATAAAGCGGAAACAGCGGAAATAACGTCTGCAATTAACCAATCAAATTGTACCTTACTTTTCGTTTCCATATTCCTTTCTCTATTAACTACATTATCGATGATCAAATTTTTTCTGTTTTGAAATTTTGCTCTGCTCATTATTCAAGCCAAGTGTCAAATTTTTCAACCTTTTTCCATTTTCCACCATCGGAATTATCAGATTTGAATTGAAATTAATAAATTTTGCACAATAGTGCAGTAATTAATTATGAATATTCTCTTTTTTTGAGGAAGAAAACGACAGTTTTTGAGGAGAATTCCCGGGTGAGTACAAAAACTAACCTCAAAATTGTAAAAGTTGAATTTTCATGATTTTCATTAAAAAATTGTTAAAATTTTTTAGAGTAATTTGAAAAAAACATTCGGACAATGAATTGTTCATTGTCCGAATGTTTTCGTTTCATTTGCCTTAATTTATAAAGGATCTCGGACTTTAAAGATTTTTTAACTGAAAAAAATTAAATAAACTAAATTTAATTATTAGTTTTAAGTTAATAATTACATAGTTAAAAAAATATTTTACAGTATTTATTATTTTATTAAAATGCATTAAAAATATTAAAGTAATTTCGTAATTTTTATAATAAAAACAAAGGTTTTTGAAAATTAAAACTCCAGTACTAAAATTTTAAATAATTTAAAGTTCTTCTCATTATTGTTAAGTTTATTAAATTTATATTAATTTTTTTTTTATTGGAAGAGGGAAATTTTCAATTAAATTAAAATCTTTTTTTGGGAAATTTAGAACAAGTTTTTCGGCGAAATAAAAATAGAAAAAAATGCAGAGAGAGGAAAAACAATTGGACGCCTCTTTGGAGGCAATAATTGCTCGAGTTAATGATTTAAAATCATCAATCGCTGGGATGATTTTCAAATTGGAGCACGAATATGAAACACTTAATTGGCCGAGTTTTCTCGATAATTTTGCTCTTATTTCCGGTCATGTAAGTATTATTTTAATTGTTTTGCCGCAAAAACACAAAAAACATTTCCTTTTTTTATTTTATTATAAAATTATTAAAAATATTAATAATTTTATAATAAAATAAAAAAAGGAAATATTTATAAAATTAATAATAAGTTTAAATTTTCAATTTTTTTTTTAAATTAAAATTAATAAATTTTGTTTCATTAATTACTAACTTTTTCAATTAAATAAAAATTATTAAATAAATAAAATTTAAAACTCTTATTGTTTTTTATTCATTTTTTATATAGAAATTTACAAAATTATTAATAAGTGTAAATTCTATAATTTTTTTTTAATTAATTATTAATTGTTCTCTTTCTTTTACAAATTTTGGAAACAAAAAGTTGACAAGTCTGACGAAATTATTGAGTCATGAAAAATCGCCAACATTGAGGAATTTGACGGTATTACCATTGCACTTGAGTCCCGAGAAGGATGATGATTTGATACGAATGACCGAGGGAAGAATAACGGTTTTCGCACACGATTTGGTGCCCGATTATTTGCGAACAAAGCCCGATCCAAATGTTGAGGCAAAAATGACAACATTGGAAACAAAAGCGGCGAATCTCAGTTATGATTCCGCTCATGTAAGCAAACATTAAAACAAACAAAAAAAAATTCATTTTTCAAAGAATAATTATTAATTATTTTTATTTTTTAGAAGTAGAAAAATTTTTATTTTTAAAATTATATTTTATAACTCGATTATTATTATTAGTTAATTTTTATAATATGAACAATTTTTTTACTATAAGAAAATCTTTAATCGTTTCTTTTAACAATAGTTTTGTTTAAATACAAAAAATAGTCGTTTTTTTAATGGAAAAATGTTAGAAAACATATATTTAATTCGAAAAACTATTTTTTGTTGGAAATTGTTTTTTCTATTTATAAAAAACTAATTTTTTATTCCGTTATTTCTATTTTTAACACATTTATTCAAAAATTTTTTATATTTATATATTTTTATTTGAATTTTTTTTGTATTTTTACTCTTTTATTTGAATTTTTTTGTATTTTAACTCTTTTATTTCAATCTTTTTTGTATTTTAACTTTTTTTTTGAATTTTTTGTATTTTAACTCTTTTATTTGAGTTTTTTTGTATTTTAACTATTTTATTTGAATTGTTTTGTATTTTAACTCTTTTATTTGAATGTTTTTATATTTTAATATTTTTTTATATTTATAAATATATGCGTCTTTTTTGTTTTTTATATTAAAAAATTTGTCTTTTATATTTATAAATATATACGTCTTTTTTTTTACAGAAGAAAAGAACGTTTCTTTAGAAAAATATTAAATATATACACATTTTTTCTAATCTTTAATTTTTCTTTTTTTTTCTTCTAAATTGACTTCAAAAAGAAACTATTTTTTCTTAAAATTTACCAAAATATAATCTTTTATTTTTCTGTTAATTTTGCAATCTAAACGACAACTAGGACTGCAATGTAAGCTCCTATGGTTTTTTTCTTTAAAAAAAATTCATTTTTTTTAGTGTCACTCTCGCTTATTAAAAAAAATTGAAAGGAAATTATTTGCGAGGAGCTAGAAATAACTTTTTTTCGCAATTATTTTTGTACATTTCATTGTTAAATTATTTGATTTCATTGATTTTAATGACTTTATTTAATTTAATATAAGTTTCAAAATATTGCTCATATTTTATTATGCGATAGAAAAATATTTTCTAGTGTTATTTAATTTTTTAACGCTTCAATTTTTAATTATTTTATTTATTGATTTACTTTTTTTAACGTTTAGAATAATTAATTTTTTTAATAAGTACTTTTTTTTATACCTTTTTAAGGCTTAGAAAAATAATTTTATTTACTTTTTCTCCACACTCAGAAGAGTAATTAGAAATTTTTTGATTTCTTTTATTTTTTTAACGCCTAGAAAAGTAATTTTATATTTTTATTTATGTTTTTAAATGTTTAGAAAAACAAATTCATTTATTTTCATTTTTTTAACGCTTAGAAAAATAATATTTCTCTTTATTTATTTTTTTCTTTGATGCATAGTAAATGATTTTTTTCTATTTTTTTTTCAAATGCATAGAAAATGATTTTTTCTTTTTTTCAAAGCATAGAAAATTATTTTCTCTTTTTTTCGTTATCTTTTTTTTTCATTGCACTGATTTATAATTTTACTTAACATCACTATGATTTATTTATTTCTTTTCAAAAATGTAGGAATAAAAACAAAAAAAAAAATGTTGGTAACAAAATTGTGAATGAATTTTTCAGAAACAAGTCGCGCAGTATACAAAAGTAATTGGACATGTTTGGGATATTGCGAATAAAGCGCGTGAGGAATGGGAAAGTGAGGCTGGAACACGTGCGGCACAAGCGCAAACGAGTAGCGCCGCCGATACACATGCTCTCGTTGCGGCAATTGGAATGGGAAAAGGTCTCAAGGTAAAAAAACCTTATTTTTACTTCTGTCCCTTAATTTTTAAATTTTTCTTGACATTTTTTCGCCTCAAAAATTATTTCATTGATTAGTTTTTTATTTTATTTTAATTTATTTTTATTCAATTTTATTATTAGTATTAGTATTAAAATAAAATTAGTATTACTATTAAAATAAAATTAATATTAGTATTAAAATAAAACTCCGTAAAAAGCAGGGAAAGTAAATAAAAGAAAAATTATTTTTAGTCCGATTCGGTTCAAATGGTTCAACCTGGAGTATCGCCGGGACCTGGAGGAATGATGGTCGGAAGACCTGGAAGTCAAGGCCAACCTGGTGGTCAAGGTCCAATGGGTAATTCGTTCTATTTCGCTTTTCTTTTTTTTACCTTTTGTTTCTATTTCTATTCGTTTTATTTTTTAGTTATTTTTCCTTTGTTTCCTTTTTTAAAAATAAACTAACTTTTTGTTTTATTTTGCTTTCAGGTCAAATGACAAAAGCACCGAGTACAATTAAGACCAATATTAAAGCAGCCTCGCAAATTCATCCTTACGGACGATAAAAGACTTAAATATTAAAATTTTCCCCCGTAATTTTTCTTTTTCTTTAAGTACATAAAATTGAAACGAACTGAAATCTTTTTACCGCTTTGAAAATAATTAAAAGGCGGCAAAAAAATGTTCAATTCTAGAAAATTTGGGAAAATTTGTTTAAAAATTTAATTTAGATAATTTAATTCAATAATTATAGGTAGTCTAATTTGTAAATACAAAGTGCGATTAACTTTGTCAAGGGAAAGAGAAGGAAAGTATTATAATTTTCTTTTTTGTCAACTGATGGATTTTTTATTATTCTTCAACGAAACAATTGCGTGAGAACGTGGTGACAGTGTCTTTTCCATTACGGGATGAATTTCAGCGTTGAAACCTTGCTCCCGTAGCCAGACAATTCGATCCTCGAGAATCAAGGACTCGGCTGGACTTTGTAGGAGAAGTTGAAGTCCCGTGTAAATTTCGGCGCACTCCAGTTTCGACTCATTCAACGTCCACAGATTCGTCACTTCCTGTTCAATATTCGATGGTAAATCTGCATAAAGGGAACAAATTCAATTAAAATAAATAAAACAAATTAAATAATAAAAATAGTAATTGAATGTTAATTATTATTTCAATTAATTAATTTTCTATTTGAATACTTTTGTTTTTATTATGTATCATTTTATCCTTTTTATTTTTTTCAGTTATAATTACGCCTTAAAAAGAAAATCGAAAAATCAACCTTTCTTTCCATTTGGAATGAATTTGTATCTTTTTAACGAATCCTTCAGGTACATTGGAAAATTTTCGCATTGAGATTTACGAGTTCCTTTCTGCACCAACTTCTTCAGTTGTAACTCATCTGAAAATTAGAAAATTCTCTTCATTACTGTTTTAATATTGTTGTATTTTATATAATTAAAAAATGTATGTAAATTATGTAATAAAAAATATCTAAGGAATTGTAAAAACAAACCCCTCTTGATACCTCATGAGACTAAACAAAGAAATACTTCATGCCTCGCAGGCAGAAAAGAAAAACTTGAAAGGGATCTATGTATACTTATAAAAAGAAGAATTGACCTGTCTTAAAAAAAATGCTACGCAGCTAGTAAGAAATTTACCCATTCTAAAAAATAAACCTCAATTGAGGGAAACATGGCATTAAGACAGGTTTGAAGAGTTAAAAAAGGTGGCAAAGACGTTAAAAAACGGCAATTTAAAAAAATTAAATTAATTTATTAATTTAAAAATTCCAATTTTAAAATTAATGTATTGATGCAGATTAATTTAATTCTTCTCGTGAATAAATTATTAAAAATTTTGAAAATTCTAATTAAATTCTTTTAAAGAATTTCTTTTAATTATTTTTTAAATAATGGAGTTTCTTTCGTAATTTTAATTAAAATTTTTGAAAAGTAATTGGATTTTATGAGCAATTTCTTTAAAGATTTTAAAATAATCGTGTTTGTTAATAATTGAAATTAAAAATTTAATTCTTGATTTTTATTAAAATTTTAGAAAATAATTGTGAATTCTTTTGAAAAATTTTATAACGAATTAAGAAAAAAATTTAGGTCATTCGTGACATTTTTTTAAAAAAATAATTGAACTTTTGCAAAGAACTTTATTATTTTTTATAAATATAATTGAATTGTTTCGAAGGATTTATTAAAAATTTATGATAATAATTAAATTTTTTCAAAAAATATTGTTAAAAAGTTTTTAAAAATTGAATTCTTTTATAAAAATGTTCTTAAAATTGTATTAAAAATATTTAAATTTTCCAAAAGAATTTTACTATTTATAAATAAAATTAAATTATTTCGTTTTTTTTATTTTAAATAATTGAGTTTTTGTAGACTTTATAACGATTTAAAAAAAAATTGAATTCTTTCGTGAAATTTTTTTTTGAAAATAATTGAATTTTTGCAAAAATTTTACTATTTATAAATATAATTCAATTTTTTTACAAGAATTTATTAAAATTTTAGAAAATAATTGAATTTTATAATTTATTAAAATTTTTATAACGAATTAAGAAAAAAATCGAAGTCTTTCCTGAAATTTTTTCTAGGATATAATTGAATTTTTGCAAATAATTTTACTGTTTATATAAATATAATTGAATTTTTTCGAAAAATTTATTAAAATTGTAGAAAATAATTGATTTTTTCGAAATTTATAAATAAAATTGAATTGCTTCATGAATTTTGTTTTGAAAATAATTAGATTTTTGCAAAGATTTTACTATTTAAAAAAAATAATTGAATTGTTTCGAAGGATTTATTAAAATTTTAGAAACTAATTGTATTCGTTCGTGAAATGTTATTAAAATTTTATTTAAAAATACTTCTAAATCCATAAAGTTGAAGAACAGCTCTGGCAATCACGTGAAATGAATGATTTTCGTGTGATTTTGCTGACATTCCTCGCCAACGTTCCGCTGGCTCTTGACACGCTAAACGTAGAAATGTTCTTCGCATAAAATTGCAATTTAAATTTGATGATTGAATAGCATTCTTCAGGGTCATAGAGAGTGGAAATAGTGGAAAAAATTCTTTTTCCTCTTCTTCTCTTTCTTCTAATTGTTTTATTTTTTCTTCTCTTTGTTTCATTCTTTCTTCATTTTCTTCTTCATCTTCTTCTTCTAATTTTTCTTCATCTTCATTTTGTTCCATTTTCCCCTCTTCTTTGTGTTCTTCTTTACTATCTTGTTGTATCGTATTGTTGACCATTTCTTCAGTCATCGATAGTTTATGATAGCAACACGACAATAATATTAACAGACGTGCATTTTCAAATTGTGTGAAAATTTTCATTATTGAAACACTGAGATCGGCACATGCATGTAGACCAATTAGACAAATTTTCTCATTAATTAATAAACTATCACTGAATTCTTTTTTTAATTTTTCTTGAATTGTATCGAGAGAAAATTCATTTATTTCACATTGAGAATATTTTACGTGATTTATTGAATTTTTATAGAATATTTTTTGTCGTTTTTCAGCGATTTCCACATTTTTTTTATTCGATTCCAAACCGAGAATTTTGTAATTGTATAAATAGTGTAGTAATTGACACACGTAGCCCTAGAAAAAAAATTGTTTTCTCTTTATTTCTTTTCAAATTTCTAAATTGGATTTTGAAAAAATTTCTTTTCTGAAAAAATGTCTTCTGTATGATTTTCTTTTAACTTACTAAACCTGCTCCAAAATCAACAATAGTAGAAATATTCTCCTCTAAGCATTGTTTACGAACAAGATTCGTGAGATATAAAATTTCATGTTGCTTCTTTGGTGTCAAACCCTTTAAGAAAAGACTCGGAAGTTGAAGATTTGGCTCAGGTTTCGGTTTTTCGAGTCTATCAATTTCTTTACATTTTTCTATAAATTTTATAAGTGAATTCGGCCAATTGGTCTAAAATTAGAAGTTTTAATTCGTAAAAATAATAATAATAATAATATAATAGCAAATAGAAAGAAAGAAAAATAGTTTTTACCTTGTATTTTTTATCAGCAACAAAATTATTTAATTCATCATTATTTAAATTTTGCAAAATATCAAGCCAACCATCGGGGAAATTGTCTAATGAATTTTTAACTAATATTTCCGTTACTGGCGTATTAAAAATCCATTGTGAATCGTAAAAAAATTTCAGAGCGTCTTTAAAATATAATTCGTAATCCATTTTTATTGTTCTTTACATTTTCTGTTTTTTAGAAATCAAATAAAAAATCTGTAAGAAAAATAAAGAATACAAATATTTACTTTTACTTTTCTTTTGATATTTTTACTCATTTTCATTTCTATCTAAAAGTAAAACATCATTACAGATGATAATAAAAAAAAGTAAAGTTTTAAGGGAAAATGAAATTTAGTCAATTAAAAAAAAATTCTCTTTATTAATAAAAAAAAAAAAACTTTACAATATACAATTCACTTAGTACTTAATTTTCATTTTCATTGGAAATAATCCACTTCACATCGTTCCTCTTTCCCAAATCATCATTCTTCGGTCCAATCAATGCTCTTCCAACTTTCACATTATTTGCCTTTGGTTTCAAATATTTTTCCCCCACTCTCATAATATCGTCCCTCGTCACACTCTTTATTCTCTCGCGTCTCATTTGTATATCATTGTACGTGATTCCATAGAGAAATTTAATTAAGCCACGATTACTTGGCGGTATCGGTGAATCGATATCTTGAAATAATCCAAGTTTTGCCTCCAATAAATCTCTCTCGGTGATTTTGTAATTTCTCAAAAAATCATAAGCACCATCGAATATATCGTGGGTTTTTATTGAATTTGGATCGCGATATGAGTAGAATGCAAAAATACCGTCTGATGATAATCTTGCACCACCACCGTAAGCGCCACCTTTTTCCCTCACCTCTGAATGTAGATAATTATTTGTTAGCAATTTCGCCAGAACACTGAGAATCGGTGAATCTTGATTTGTATAGGGAACGGTGAGAATTGCCTTTGAGGCGAAATTCACGGAAAATGGTACTAAATGATGAATTCCTGTTTCTTCAATTGAAGAGATTGGGGAGTTGGTGATTTGTGAAAGTGTCGGTGTACCATCGAGAGTTTTATAGAAATTATCGAGATTTTCAATAATCTCCTCCTTATTTTCTGGTGAAATATTAAGTGCCGATCGAAGGCAAGATTTATTTAGAATTTGATTTCCGATTTTTTGAACTTGTTCCAAAATTGATGACATGTCGTCGAGTTGGGCGATTTTTTTCATTCGAGTGATGAATTCCAGGCCTGAGAGATTCTCCTTCATTTTAATCACTGGACTCACCTTTTAAAAATGAGAAAATTAATTTTTATTCTATAAATCTTATATTCTATAAATTCTATAAATTTTATAAATTCAAGGCTCGAACCAGTGAAAATATTTAAAAATACGAACTTTACGGATCAAAACTAAAAAATTACGGACCATTTACGGACTAATTATTACTGAAAAAAATATAACCAGTGCGAGTCAAATAAGAGAAAATTTTACTTAAAACTATACATTTTTTTCATAACTATAAAATATGAAGAGATCGATCACTCCGAGTTTTCGACTCGGAATAATCGCTTTCTTCATGTTTTATAATAATTAAAAATGGCAAATTGATAAAATCATTATTTTATATATTATAAGAATTTTGTTACTGCAACTTCTTCAAAATTATTTTCAACATTTCAATTCAATTATTTTCTAGAATTTTCTAGAATTTTCAACTAAAATTCTTCTGAAAACAATTATTTTTAATAATTTTCGAAAAAGTTTCTTTTTAAGAATTTTCAAATCCATTTGTTTACAATTCAATTTTACAAAAAAATGTCGATTATTCGTCAATTCTTCAATAAAATATATATTAGAAAATGACAACTTTAAAAAATTTCAAAAAAAAAATTAAACCTTTTGAAAAAAATTTAATTTCACAGAATTGTTAGTTAACAATTTAAATTTGCAAAGATTTCAATTTGAAACCTTTTTAGAATTCAATTATTTCTCAAAATTCATGCTTTTAATATTCAATTATTATTCGAAATTTTAACTAAAATTCATTTTTAAATCAATTTCTATTAGAAAATCCAACTATAGAATTTAAATTATTTAAATACAAAAATAAATTATTTATTGAATAATTGAATTCTCATAAAGAATTTTATCAACAAATTTTTAAACAATTAATTGAAAATAATTGAATAAATGTGAAATATTTTATTAATTTTTAAAAATAATTGAATTCCTGCGATGAATTATATTATATTTATAAAAAATTGAATTTTTGCGATGAATTTTGTGAAAACTTTTGAAAACAATTGATTTTTTTGCGAAAAATTTTAGTAAAAGTTTGGAAAATAATTTAATTCTTACTATGAATTTTATTAATATTTGAAAATAATTGAATTTCTGTGAAGAATTCAATTATTATTTGCAAAAATAATTCAATTCCTGTAAAGAATTCAATTAATTTTGATAAATAACTCAATTCTTGTGAAGAATTTTTTTGAAATGTCTAAAATAATTGAATTCCTGATGAGAATATTAATAATTTTTGAAAAATAATTGAATTGTTACTAAGAATTTTATTAATTTTTAGAAATAATTGTTTCCCTGCTAAGAATTTTATTATTTTCTGAAAATAATTGAAATTCTGTGAATAATTTTATTATTATTTGCAAATAATTGAATTTCTGCAAAGAATTTTATTAAAAGTTTTGAAAATAATTGAATTCTTGAGATGAGTTTTATTATTTACGAAAATAATTGAATTAACGCGAAAAATTTTATAAAAAATTTCCAAATAGTTGATTTTTTTTCAAAAAAATTGATACAAATTTTATTTTTAATAATTGAATTCCTGTGAAATTTTAATTATTTTATATATAATTAAATGTTTGCGCAGAATTTCATTAAAATTTTTTTTAATAATTGAATTCTTTTGAAAAATTTAATTAAAATAGTAGATATTTGAAGATCATTGAATTGAGGAAAATTTTTGAAAATAATTGAAATTTTTGCCGAGTATTTTTTTAAATAATTGAATTGATTCGAAGAATTTTATAAAAGTTTTTAAAAATATTCTTCCAACGAATTTTATTAAAATTTTTAAAAATAATTGAATTCTTACGGCGAAGTTTATTAATTTTTTTTTAAATAATTGAATTCTAGCGAAGAATTTTATAAAAATCATTTTAAATAATTGATTTTTGTCGAAAAATTTTATGAAAATTGTGTTTGAAAATAATTAACTTATTGTAAACATTTTATTATTTATGAAAATAAGTTAAGTCATAAAAAAAATTTTATTATTTTCGAAAATAATTGAATCTCTGTAAAAAATTTATATTATTTATGAAAATAAGTTAAGTCATAAAAAAAATTTTATTATTTTCGAAAATAATTGAATCTCTGTAAAAAATTTATATTATTTATGAAAATAGAATTGAATTGTCGAGACACAATTTATAAAAAACTTCCAAACAATTGAATTTTTGCAAAGAATTTTATTAAAAAATTTGATAATAATTGAATTTCTTCGAAGATTTTTATTATTTATGAAAATAATTGAATTTTTGGGAAGAATTTTATCAAAATGTTTCATAATCCTAATTAAATTCTTTTGAAGAATTTCTTTGAATTTCTTTTAAATAATGAAGTTTCTTTAATAATTTTAATTGAAAGTTTCAAAGTAATTGAATTTTATATAAACAATTTCTTTCAAGTTTTTACTATAATCGTGTTTCTTATTAATTGCAATGAAACATTTAATTCTTCTGATTTTATTAACATTTTTAGAAAATAATTGAATTCTTTTGAAAAATTTCTTTAATTTATTAAATAGAATCGAATTTTTTAATAATTGTATTGAAAATAATTGATTTTCCTAGAGAAGAATTTTATTATTTATGAAAAACAATTTAATTCTTACGATGAATTTTACTATTTATAAAAATAATTGAATTTTTTCGAAGGATTTATTAAAATTTTAGAAAATAATTGAATTCTTACGAAAAATGTTATAAAAAATTTAAAAAAAACAATTAAATTCTGATTTCATGAAATTTTATTAAAATTGTATTAAAAATAATTGAATTTTTGCTAAGAATTTTACTATTTATAAAAAATAATTGAATACGTTTGAAGAAGGTATTCAATATTTTGTTATTTCTCTAAATAATTGAATAATTTTTTTTTAAGAATTTTATTAAAGTTTTTGAAAATAATTGAATTTTAGAGAAGAATTTTATTATTTATAAAGATAATTGAAATTTTGATTGAAAATTTAAAGGATCTTTTGAACATGAATGAATTTCCGCAAAGAATTTTATTACTTTCGAAAATAATTGAATTTCTGCAATCATTTCTAACTTTGCGGTCCTTTTTACAAAAAAAAAACGGACTTTTACGGACTTTAAAAAAATTTACAGACTTTTACGGGATTTACGAATCTAGTTCGAGCCCTGTACATTTTAATTTACAAATTTTATATTACCAAACTCGCAGCGCTACTCAGAGCGTACTGATGTCCAGCGCTAGCGATTCCATTGGTCAAATCGGTGGCGCTCATTTTCACTAAAGTCTCAAATCGCTTTTGATCAGTGAGTTTCACTCGATTGAATAATTCCTCCCAAAATTGCCACATTGCCTTTGAATTCTGTTGCAGGCAATATGATTCAATTAGCACACCTTCCTCGTAGGATGTCACGCTTGTCGGTTGCTCGGCGACATGATTCGCGAAACCAAGACCCGAAGTCTTTAGCTGAATCATTTGATCAAAAGTTCTGTAGTCGTAGTTCTCGGTGCCCATTTTTGCCACAACTTGATTGAAAATTGGCAGGACATCCTTCAATTCGGGCGATAGATTTTTAGTATTTAAAATAGCGCGATAGTAACAGACTTCATTTGTTGGCTGTAGTGATACTTGAACTGGAACTCCATTCATTTTTAGATCCTGAATGTTGTATCTGAAAAAAATGATGATGATGATTAGAAAAATAAAAAGAATGATAGTATTAAAAATAATTATAATAATTATAATTATAATTATCTTTATAAATAATAAAATTATTCTCTAAAATTCAATTATTTTTAAAAATTTTAATAAAATTCTTGAAAAATCCAATTATTTAGAAAAATAATAAAATTCTTCAATAATTTTTTTTTAGTTTTGGTCCGTAAATTCCGTATTTTTTATTTTTAAATACTTTCACTGGTTCGAGCCTTGGAATAATAAAAATAATGATAATAATAATAAATATTAATAACAAAATAATTTTGAAAATTTCACCTCTCTACATCCTTCTTAAGATCCTCGATCATCAAACTCGGCAGTACTTCAACATTCTCCGTTTTTCCCTGATATTTGAGTAATTCTTGTCCCTTCTCGAAGACATCATTTTTCTCGTTCTCTGTTAATTTCTCAAGTTGTTCCGCGAGCAATTGATTCTCGGCATTTGCCAATTCCTCGCCATGTTTTTCATTTGGCGACATTGTTAATGTTAAACGATGTGTATTTTTGAAAAAATATTTCTCCACCAATTCTTGCAGGTAACGAGGATTCTCGGCGAAATTAAGTTTAAATCTCTCGAGAGCATCGTTTATACGCAACGATTGAATAATATCGCCATCATGATTCCAAAGTGGCATTATATTGAACAATAGATTCATACCGAAATTCGACGACTGATGTTTAACGTGCAATTCAATACTGTGTAAAACAGCGGCCACGTGATCTTTCTCGAAACCCTCTTTCATTACTTTTTGTATTGTTTCCTCGTAGGCTTTTTCCATTCTTGGAAAGTCCTCCACTCTCATTCCCTTGAAAATTACAAACAAATTTTTAATAATAGTATTTTCATTATGCTGCTGTTATCATTATAATTTATTTACTTAAATGGATTTAAATAAATAAATTTATTTATTTAAATAGATTTAAATAAATAAATAAATAAATAAATTTAAATAAAAAAATTTATTTATTTATTTAAATTTATTGATTTATTTATTTTTATTTATTTAAAGAGCTACCGGCTTCGCACTCAATAATTAATTTTAAAAAAGTAGCAAAAAGTAGTTTTTAGATTGAAAAAAGTAGTAAAAAAAAGTGGCTATCGAAAAATTAAATTTGACAACTAAAAAAAACTCGTTTTAGTCAACTCAGAAAACTGACAAAAATTTGACTCTTTATTTTCCTGATTTCCAAAAAAAAAATAGTCAGTTTTTCTTATCCTGGTAATAAAGATTCAATTCTAAATTTTTATCAAAAATTCAATTATTTTCCAAATTTTTAGTTAGAATTCTTCGAAAATTCAATTATTTTTAAAAATAATTTTTGAAAGTAAAAAAATGAATTTTTTTCAAATATAAAATTTTTTTCAATTTGACAAAATTTCCAATTGAATGGAAATTTAAATAATGTTTTATTTTAAAGAGAATTTCTCTATATTTGAAAAAATTTAATTATAATTTTTCGAAAGATTAATTTTTTCATAATTTCTAAATTAAATTAGTTTTACTGGAATAATTTCCGTTCAATAAATATATTAAATACTTATTTATTTTCCCACTGGAATTAAAATTTTTAAATAATTTTAATTTAAAAACATTTGAAAATTTATCTATTTCTAAAAATTTATATTATAACGCATTCTTAATATTCAATTTTAATCTAAAATTGTAGCTGAAATTCATTTTAAAATCAATTTTTTATTAGAAAAGTTCCACAAGAATTCAATTATTTAAATACAAAACTAAATAATTATAGAATAATTGATTATTTCTTAAAATTGAACCAGAATTTTATCAACATTTTTAAAAATAATTAAATTCCCAAATATTATCTTAAAAAACTTTTGGAAAAATATTTGAATTCTTTTGAAGAATTTCTTTGAATGTTTTTTTAAAATAATCGATTTTGTTAAAGATTTTTAATTAATAATTTTATTATCAAAGTTTATTGAAATATTGTTAAAAAATTGAATTCTTTTAATGAATTATATTAAAATTTTTAAAAATTGATTTTTTTCGAACAATTTTAGTAAAATATTTGAAATTAATTCCTGTAAAATTTTATTAAATATAATTAAAATCCTGCGATGAATTTTATTATTTATGAAAATAATTGAATAGTTGCAAAGAATTTTATTAGAATTTTTAAAAATAATTAAATTCCTGAGAAGAATTTCAATTATTTATGAAAATAATTGAATTATTGCGAAAAATTTTATTAAAATGTTTAAGAAGAATTGAATTTCTGTGAAAAATTTTGTTATTTTTGAAAAATAATTGAATTTCAGAGAAGAATTTTTTTTATTTATAAAGATAATTGATATTTTGACGAGAATTTTCTTAAATTTTTTAACATAATTGAATTTTTGCGAAGAATTTTATTTCTTTTGAAAATAATTGAATTCTTGCGAATGATTTTATTAGAAATTTTTAAATTAATTGAATTTCCAAGAAAAAATGTATTTAAAACTGTATTTTAAATAATTGATTTCATTTCAACAATTTTATTAAAATATTTGAAAACAATTGAATTCTTGTGAAAAATTCTAATATTTTTGTAAATAATTGATTTTTTCTAGGAATTGAAATTGAATTTTTAAGAATAATTACATTTTTTGATCAATTTCTGTAAAATTATATTAAAAATTATTGAATTCTCTTCCGATGAATTTTCTTATTTATGAAAATAATTGAATTATTGCGCCAAAATTTCATTAAAGTGTTTAAAAAGAATTGAATAAATGTGACAAATTTGATTAATTTTTAAAAATAATTGAATTCCAGCCAAGAATTTTGTGAAAACTTTTGAAAATAATTGATTTTTTTGCGAAGAATTTTAGTAAAAGTTTTGAAAGTAATTTAATTCTTACTATGAATTTTATTAATATTTGAAAATAATTCAATTTCTATGAAGAGTTCAATTATTACTTGCAAAAATAATTCAATTCCTGTAAAGAATTCAATTAATTTTGGTAAATAATTAAATTCTTGTGAAGAATTTTTTGAAATGTTTTTAAATAATTGAATTCCTGATAAGAATATTAATAATTTTTTAAAAATAATTCAATTCTTACTAAGAATTTTATTCATTTTTAAAAATAATTGTTTTATTGCTAAGAATTTTATTATTTTTTTTGAAAATAATTAAATTCCTGTGAATAATTTTATTATTTTTTGCAAATAATTGAATTTCTGCAAAGAATTTTATTAGAAGTTTTGAAAATAATTGAATTCTCGTGATGAGTCTTATTATTTACGAAAATAATTGAATTTTGGTTGAATTTTAATTTTTAAATAATTGAATTCTTTAACGAAATTTTATGAATTTTAATTTTTAAATAATTGAATTCTTTAGCAAAATTTTATCAATTTTTTTTCAAATAATTGAATTTTTTAGCGAAATTTTATGAAAATTATTGAAAATTGAATTTTTGAATATTTTTTGAAAATAATTGAATCGTTTTAAAGAATTTGATTATAATTTTTGAGAATAATTTTTTTATTTCTTTTAGCAAATTTAAAGTAGTGGAAATTGTAAAAAAAACCAAGAGCTTTTAGTGGCTGAAATCTAAAAAAGGACCCAAATGATAGCGTAACGTAAAAAATTGTAGTAAATAGTAAATCAATTTTTTTTAAATAATTGATTGAAATAATAAATAAATAATTAAAATAATTTAAATAAACAATGATTATAATTTTAAGAGATAGAAAAATACGAAAAGAACTAAAAATTACCTGCAAGCCAACAATGAAAAGCGTGTCCTTTAATTGTGAATCGAAACCAGTAGCGGGACTGAAACCAGTTCCAATATTAGAATCGACGAGACTTTTATAAAATGCCGAATTCGGTCCCTTGAGTAATAATTGCGAGAGAACGTGTAAATCGAATGTCAGCTGTAAATCGTTAATATCACTGCACAATAAGCCAATTGCCATTGAATTCTGTCTTTCGGAATCGGAAATCATTGGATCGTGTCTTCCAAACATATGCTCCTTTCTTGGCTCTAACCAACGTTTCTCCGATGGTACGGACGTTACATTTGAATCAATTGCCCTCACTGATGATAAATATTCGTTGTTTAAAAATTTCAAATGATCCTCCAATGGAAAATTACCGTACGAATAGAAACGTGCATTCGATGGATGATAGTGATACGAATGAAAATCAACAAGATCCTTGTGTGAGAGTTTCACTATTTCAAGTGGATCACCACCGGCGATAACACCATACGTATGACTCGGTAGAATTAAATTTATAAATTTCACTATAAAACTATTTTGATTCTCAACAAATACACCCTTCATTTCATTGAAAACAATGCCTTTGAAAATTATTGGCGATGTTTTGTCGTTCACATCCTTGTGCTCGAGTCTGTAACCTAATTTATTAATTATTAAATTAAAATATTAAAATAAACAGAAAGGTAAAAATTGTTTGTTTGCTTTTTGTTTCCTAACTTTTTTAATAATTTTTCTTTTTAAATTAATCTACTGAAACTTAATCATTAAATTCTAGTAAAGTATTTATATAAAAAAATTTGAATATAATTTTTTTTTTTAAATAATAATAATAATAATAATAAATAATTTTTTTTTTTAATCTAAAAAAAAATTGTGGTCATTATTTCAATTAACTTTATAAATAAATAGCAAAATTCTTCGAAAAAATTCAATTATTTTGAGAAATTTTTTTAAAATTCTTCGCAATAATTCAATTATTTTCAAAAATTTTCATAAAATTCATGTCAAAAATTCAATTATTTTCAAAACTTTTTATAAAATTCTTTATAGAAATTCAGTTATTTGCAAAAAAATATAATAAAATTATTCACAGGAATTCAAATATTTTTAGAAAATAATACAATTTTTAGCAGGGAAACAATTATTTTAAAAAATTAATAAAATTCATATAGTAAGAATTAAATTACTTTCAGAACTTTTACTAAAATTCTTTGCAAAAAAATTAATTATTTTCAAAAGTTTTCACAAAATTCTTCGCAAAAATTCAATTTAAAACACAAAATAATAAAATTCTTCGCAGGAATTCAATTATTTTCATAAATAATAAAATTCTTCTCAGGATTTTAATTATTTTCAATACAATTTTAATTGATTTCTTCGAAAATTTCAATTATTTTTAAAAATCTTGTAAAAATTCTCTGAAAAACTAATTAAAAATTTATTATTTCTGCAAATAATTAAATTTTTGCAAAATTTTAAACAATAAGTGAATTTTTAAGAAGAATATTATTAAAATTGTATTTAAAATAATTGAATTTCTATGAAAAAATTTATTATTTATTGATATTATTAAATTTTTTCGAAAACTTTTTAAAAAATGTTTAAAAATAATTTAATTTCCCCTAGAATTCAATTAAAATTGTATTTAAAATAATTGAATTTCAGCGAAAACTTCATTAATTTTAAAAATAATTGAATTCCAGCGAAAATGTCATTATTTTTAAAAATAATTGAATTCTTGAATTTGATTTTATTAAAAGTTTTTTAAATAAAAACTCTTGTGAACTCTTGTGAAAAATTCCATTATTTTAAAAAATAATTGAATTTTTTAATTATTGTTATTATTATTTTTCAATTATTATTCAATTTTTCAATTTAAAATTTTAAGTGACATTCATTTTTTATTCAATTTTTTAAAGAAAATTTCTCGAGAATTCAATTATTTAAATACAAAAATTTCAAATTGATTAAATAATTGAATATTTCTTAAAATTGAATTTTAATGAAGAATTTGATCAAAAATTTAAAATATAATTGAATAAAGAATAAATTCAATTTTCTATCATTTTATTCAAAATTGTATAAAAAATAATTGAAATTCTGCGATAAGTTTTGTTATTTATGAAAATAATTGAATTCTTGCAAGGAAATTTATTAAAACTTTTTTTAAAGAATTGAATTTATGTGAAGAATTTTATTTGTGACAATAATTGAATTCCGGAGAAAAATATTATTATTTATGAAAATAATTAATTTCTTGTGAATAATTTTATTTAAATTTTTAAAAATAATTGAATTCTCGAGAAAAATTTTATTATTTATGAAAATATATTAATTTCTTAGGAAGAATTTTATTCTTTTTTTCAATAATTGAATTCCCATTAAAAAAATGTATTATTTAAGTAAAAATAATTAAATTCTTAAGAAGAATTGTATTGAAAATAATTGAATTGTACCGGAAAATTTTATTAAAACCACAATTTTATTAATTAAATCTTGTAAAGAGTTTTGTCAAAAATTCAATAATAGAAATTTTTAAATAATAGAATTTTTAAAAGAATTTTATTTAAATTTTTACAAATTAATTGAATTTCTCAGAACTAATTTTTTCAATTCTCTGAATTTCTTTGAATTCTTTCGAGAAACTTAATTAAAAAATTAAAAATAATTGAATTGGTCCGAATTTATAAAAAAAATTGGTAACTAATTTGAATTCCTGTGAAATTTTATTAAAATTTTTATTTTTTTAATTTTTCGAAAATAATTGAATTTTGAAGAATTTTATTATTTATAAAAATAATTATAATTTTGAGGAGAATTTAAAAAAATTTTTTGAACATAATTGAAAGTTATGCGAAGAAGTTTATCACTTTTGAAAATAATTGAATTTCTAATCAGTTCTTCTTTAAATTTCTATTTAAATTCATTAAAAATTGATATTTTCTAAAATTTCAAATTGAAATCTTTCAAGTTCATCTATTTATGAAGATTGTAAACGCAACTCTTTTGAAATCCAATTAATTTTGAAATTAAGTAAAATTATTCATGAAATAATTTAAAAGTAATAATTTTATGATAGTTGTTCAAAGAATTAAGGTAGTTAAAAAGAAATTATTGTTAGAAATAGAAAAAATTGAAGGGTTTGTATTAGAATTCTTGGCAATTTTATAGTTTTAGTCAAACCAAAAAAAACACAAAAATTTATAATTTTTTTATAAATTCTAAAAATTTAATTTTCTCCAGTACTTTTAATAAAAATCCCTGATAAGTAATAATTGTAAAAAAATTTACCTTCTTGTAAAAAGTCCAAATAACGGAGATTTGGTCGAAAAACCGAATCAAGATAGACAGACATGAGATTTTTGTAGTCCTTGGGATTTTGAGTGGAGAATGGATAAAATGTATAATCGGGCGCAGTCATTGCATTAATAAATGTCGCCAATGAGCGACGTAGCATTTTGAAGAATGGATCACGACAGGGATACTTTTCACTGCCACATAAAACGGTGTGCTCGAGAATATGCGGCAGTCCAGTGGAATTTAATGGTGTCGTACGAAAACCAGTGGAAAATACATTATTACTGTCGTCACGTTGTAAATGCAAATATTGTGAACCACTTCTTAAATGTTCGAGTTTTATTGCGTGTAAAAACATTTCATCAACAGATGATGTTTCCGTTACTTTGAAACCCTCAATCACATTGCCAACTTCATATTTTGAGTCCAAAATTTTTGTCGTCTTTCTTTTCGTCTCAATACGAGGCGATGGTTGTGAACTGTAGAATTTTTCAATTTTCGTTATATTCTGAAGTCGTCTCCATGACTTGTTCGCCATTAAAAGTTTCGAAAACATTTTTGATTCTCTCCCTTTTAATCTGAAAAATTTCAATTTTTAGTTAAATCTTTTTAATATTATATATTTAAATTATCATTATTGTTTAAATAACTATACTTATATCATTAATAGCACAGAAATAGTTATATAATTAAATAATTTTAATAATTAATAACTTAATTTTCTTAATTTTTTTAATCATAATTTTTTTGAAAATTAACAATTTTCTATTTTTTATAAATAAAAATAATTTTGTACATAATTAGTAAATAATTATAATTAATTGTAGCAATAAACCATAATTATTCTATTTAATCGTAATTAACATTATAATAGCTAACTAATAAATAATTATAATTTAAAAAGAGAATTTATAATTTTTCTAATTCTTTAATGTCATAAATTTCATTATTTCTTTCACCTAACCTTAAAATTTACCGTTAACAATGTCATAATAAATTTTTGTAATAAAAACTAAAATTAAAATTTTTACTTACCGATAATATTTGTGTTTGCAATGAAATTTTTTCTAACACCTTCAAAACACAATATTCAGAAAATCACAGATGCACGTTCATCATTTGCTTAAAGAAATAAGAAACAGCAATTTTATTTTTTTCTCTCACCACGAAAAATTATTTGCACACGAGAAATGTCAGTTATATTATAATTTTTGTTTACTTTTTATTAAATGATGAAAATAGTCCTTATAACATTATATCTACCAAATAAATTATATCGTACCAAATAAATTACATTCAAATAAATCGAAACGAAAAGCAACATTTATTAATTAAAGAAATTTTCGTTTACATTCTAAAACAAAAAAATTAAATCTTAGAAATTAAAAATTCTGAATCCCGAGATGTAGAATTTTAAACTTAGAAATGAATTATTAGGACAAAACAAACGTTTAAAAATTTATTTTTCTAACCTCAAAACAGGGGAATTTAGATTTTATTGAATTAAAAATAAAATATTGATACTTACTTGATTCGTTAATGATAAATGCGGTTTGTTGACAATTTAATTAATTTGTTAAATTTCAACGATAAATTTCATATTTCATCATGTTAGCAACTATTATACAAACATTAGAAACGTGATAATTCACTCATGTTTTTCGACGTGGAAAATAGACGACAAAGAGGAGAAAACAGAAATGAGAGAAATATACAAAAAATTTAGTTTTGATTATTGTCGTACGCGGCGTAAATTTTGTAATACAAGAACAAACGGACAAAAACAAAATAAACAAAAATTAGTCTATTTCTCTCAATCTTCCAAATTGAAAGTATAAATATTGCCTTTAGAAATTTACTTTGATGAAGATACCTACCAAAAAATTGAGCTAAAGAGCAGTTTTCTTTCGAACTTGAATTATGCAAGTCCAAATGGAGATTAAGTTTTTTTTACGATTTATCTTTATTAAAAACCAATTTTTTGCTTCTTCTTCTTATTAAACGGCCTCTTGGATAAACTAGTCCTGTAAAAACAATAATTCAAAATTATTATCCATTTTCTTTTAAATTACACCGGCGAGAGTCGAGAGAAGACGACAAGAAATTTCCCTTGGAACCAGAGAAGAATTCCAAGTGCTCGCGCGTGATTGGTGGAAATATTCATATTTACTCGAGACGAGTCGATAAAGTAGAAATCGAAATTATATTCGAAATAAATAACAAGAAACAAATAATATTACAATAAATATTATTGATATTAATTAATTAATTAATAAAAAAAATTTCTCGATCAATCTGTTAATAGTAGTTGTTTAATATTCCAAGTTCGGTAAACAAAAACAAAAATTTCAAAAAACTAGTTACGATAACGAGCCAATAGAATGCGCCTCCAACTCTCAACAATAACAAATAGAATTCGAATAGTACACCCCTCTGATTGGCTACTGAAAATAAAGTTTCCCCAAGTACAACATCCAATTGGTGGAAATTTCCCGCGTTTTGAAAATATCCCTTGATACTCGGCAGCACTCTCTATTGTGTTTGTTGTCTTGTCTCACAGGAGGTCTACTGCTTTTGGTGTCTCGCGATTCGCGCCGACTTCCCCCTTTATGGTTGTCGATAAAAAAAAAAAATTTTTTTTTCTCCCCCCCGATGAAAACAGTGTATTTTCACACTAAAATTATATGAGAAATTTACCTTGTGACTTAACATCGATTTACACGGCAATGTTAATTCTCATTGGAGTGTTAATTGGACCAAGAAATTACTCTATTTTCGTTCCAGGAACATCACCACGATCGCGGTTACTTTAAGTGTTTTTAGTTTTGTATATAATAAAGTGTTTTTCATAACCTACCCAAACCCCCACCACTAATTAAAGGGAGGGGGGTTAGAGAGTGTGCGGTGAAATAAACTGATATTCTCGAAAATAATGAGTTATGTTATTAATTTGGAAATATATTCGCTATCAAGCGAATTGGCTCGCGCAAACAGTAAGCGCTTTGCGCTACTGGCAAATTGTGCATTAGCTACAGCTGATTATGAGCCAATGGGAGTAGAAGCAGAATACCCGGGTGTGTTGGTGAAAATCTGAATTTTTTTTTTTTTATTAATTTTTTTTCATTGCTCTGGGGGGGGATTTATTGTATTTTTTGGGGGGTAGGGAAATGAGTGTTCAGAGTCATCAAGAAGCAGTAATGATTGTAACGGGGGGTGGTGGTGGTAATGGTGGTGGTGGTGGTGCTACTGCTACTGCTGCTTCTGCTGCATTTAATAATACGAGGGTAAAACGTGAAAAAATTGACGTCGAGGGGAATAATGTCGTTGCCGGTGAAGGCGCCGACGTCAAAACGAATATGGAAACCCAACAACGTGCTCCGGTGACGCCAATTTCACAATCGTCACGCGTATCAAATGGTTTTCATAATGAGGATCTCTTTAGGGACGTCATCACTGGGAAATTTGCAAATCTCGTTCATAATAATTCAACCACCAAACATGAGAAAATTCGGCTTATGATCGAAGAAAGCATTGGGTATGCATTCAGTTTATTTCTATTCGTTTTTTTTGGTTTAATTAAACAAATATTTGATTTAGACTGTGTTTGTTTAATTTAACCACACTTTTGGATTGATTTAATCAAATATTTTGTTGACTTAACCAAATATTTGGTTAAACAAGCCAAACACTTGAGTGACAACCAAATATTTGGTTAAACTAACCAAATCTTTTTGGTGACTGTTTTACTTGGTTGGCACCCAAGTATTTGGCTTGTTTAATCGCATATTTGGTTAGCATCCAAATATTTAAACCAAATATTTGGTTGTCACTCAAGTATTTGGTTAGTTTAACAAAAATATTTTGTTAATTCACCCAAATATTCGGTTAAATCACTTGAATATTTATTTTCTTTAACTAACCAAACATTTGGGTGATTTATAGTCAAATACTTGAATCATAACCAAATGTTTGGTTAAACTGACCAAATCTTTTGGGGCAAAAAAATTTAGGTGAGTTAACCGAATATTTGGGTGGCAACCAAATATTTGGTAAAGCTAACTAAATCTTTTGGTTATCCAATATTTAGGTGATTTAACCAAATATGTGGTTAAATAAACCAAATATCGGATGGCAAGCAAATATTTGGTAAAATTAACTAAATCTTTTGGTGATCAAATATTTAGGTGATTTAACAAAATATGTGGTTAAACTAACCAAATCTTTTGGTGACTTATTCAAATATTTTGTTAAACAATCCAAATATTTGGGTGATTTAACCAAATATTTAGGCAACTAACCTAATTATTTGAGAAATGCAAAAAAAATGGTGGGTAAGGTAACCAAATATTTTGGTATCTTAACCAATTTTTTGCGCAATTTAAACAAACCTTAGAACAGCGTAACTAAATATTTCGCTAATTTCGACAAATTTTCGAGATATTTTCTCCTAATTATTTGACAAAAACAACCATTTCTTTGGCTTATTTTAATAAATATACTGTTATATTAACATAATGCCAACATTTGGGTAGTATAACCAATTTTTTAAATATTTTAAACAAGTGTTTGAGCAATTTAGCCAAATATTTGGTTAATTTAATCAACTTTTTATCAATTTAAACAAAAATTTGGGAAGTATAACCAAGTATTCGATTATTTTGGCTAATTTTAATAAATTCAATTACATTAACATAATTAGCCAAACATTTGGGTAGTATAGTCAAATTTTTTTGGATAAAGTTAATTAGGTGTTTGTGGCATTTAATCAAATATTTGGGTAAATTAACTAAATATATGGCTAATTTAGCCAAATTTTTATAAAATTGAGACAAATATTTAGGTAACACAACCAAATTATTTGGTTAATATAATATACACATTTTTGGTTTATTTCTCCAAATATTTGACTTATGCTCAAAAACCAATTGTTTGGCTATAATTTTAATAAATTTACTTCTATTAAAATAATTCCTAAATTTTGGTTGTATAATTAAATTTTTTGGATAATTTAATTAAGTGTTTGTGGCATTTAGCCAAATATTTGTGTAAGTTAACCAAATATATGGTTAATTTAACTAAATTTTTGTTCAATTAAGACAAATATTTGGGTAGCAGAACCAAATATTTTCGTAATTAAGTCAATTTTTTACAATTTACAAATATTCGTGTGGTATAAACAAATATTTAGCAAAATTTAAACAAAGTTCTTTGGGTCATTTATCTAAATATTTGTTTAATGCAACCAAATGTTTGTCTGCTTTTAATTAATTAAATTATATTAACATAATTAGCCAAACATTTAGGTAGTCTAACCAAATTTTGTTTGATAAGTTAATGTTTCTGTTTGTGCAATTTAGCCTAATATTTGGGTAATTTAGCTACATTTTTATATAATTTAACCAAATATTTGGATAATTTAGCTAATTTTTTGAGTAATTTATCTAAAAATATTTAAGTTAATTAAATATTTGAGTAATTTAACTTCATTTTTGGGCAATTTTATCAAATATTTGGGTAATTAAGCTACATTTTTGTGCAATTTAACTTATTTGGTTATTTTACCCAAAATTATATGAAATTTAAATATATACGAAACTGAACTAAATATTTGGGTAATTTAGCCAATTTGAGATCATTTAGTTATATATCGACATAATTAGCCAAATATTTGAGTAGTATGACCAAATTATCAATAATTTTAGCAAATGTTTGTGTAGTTTAGCCAAATATTTCTTTAGGATAACTAAATGTTTGGTTAATCTAACTAAATGTTTATCTAATGATTAAAAATATTTTGATAATATAACCAAATATTTGACTAATTTTACTAATTTTTTTTTTTTGAATAAATTTAACTGAATATTTGACCAAATTTTTGTGTATTTGTAAAATATTTCATTACATTAATATAATTGGCTAAAATTTGGGTAGGAAAACGAAATTTTTGCCAAATGTTTGAGTATTGTACCCAAATGTTTGCCTAATTTAACCTAATTTTTTTATGGATTTAAGCAAATTTTTATCTAATTGAAGCCAATCCAAATATTTGTGTAAAAAAACCAAATATTTGGCTAATTTAAACAAATTTTAATGAAAAATTAAAGAAATTCCACAATATAATGAATATAATTTTTAGAATTAAAGTCATTTTGCAATAAAATGAATAAATAAATTAAAAAATTTTATATAATTTTTACAATAAATAAATTAAAAACTTTCATATAATTTTTGCAATAAAAGAAAAATATAATTTGTTTATATATTTAATAAAACATCGAATGTATGAAATGCAAAAATTGGATGTTATAAACGTAAACTTGTTATTGATTTTTTCCCTAGATTTTATTCTCTATATTCTTTCTTATATCCTTTAATTGTATAAATTTTCTTTTATCACATAAAAATATATTTATATTCTTAATTGAGAATAATTTTTTCTCCCTCTATTTATATACATACAATTTTTGTTTTTCGTTATAATAATAATAAATTATTTAACAATTTTTACAAAAAATACAATTGTTAAATTTGTTATAAAAATAAAAAATTTCAGTAGGTCATTTGTCACGCGACACAATATAATTCATTCTTTATTGATCCACTTTGAATTGCGGATATAATTAATTTTTCAATTGAGTTCGATTCATAATGAAAAAGAAATTGTACGTTTTTTCTGCATTTATTAAAAAAAAAGTATATAAAAAACTAGGTTTATAAATGAAACATTTCCATTTACTGAATAATTTATTTTATTTCTAAAACGAAGAAATAAATTTTATTTCTGAAACGAAGAAATAAATTTTATTTCTAAAACGAAGAAATAAATTTTATTTCTAAAAAGGGGAAAAAATTTTTAAAGTCCCTGAAGTTAGCGTCGAAAATGGTATTTTTTCACAGAAGGGGAAAAGAATATAAGAATTTTTTTTCAAAGATTTCAAGGTAAAAAGTGTTCTGAATAATTTTTATCTCCCTAGGTAAATAATTTCGTTTTTTTTTCTTTTAGCGACGACTCGAAGTTTCGTGTTCAGGAAATTTTCTCAAAAGTGGAACAATTGAAAATCGAGGAAAAATTATTATTGTACCTGAAACTTCCATTGTCTCTGGCAAATCCCAGCGGTACGATAGATCCACTTAAACAGCCATTGAATCCATTGGGCAATCGATATGAAATTCATCAGACAATTATGTGGATCAAGACACATTTGGAGGAGGATCCCGATGTATCGTTGCCGAAGCAAGAAGTATACGATGAATACAAGTTCGTATTTCTATTTTTTAATAGAATATTTTTTTTGTTTTAGAACAAAACTTTTTTTTATAACAAAAACACTTCAATTATTGTTTTTGAATAATTTTACAATTAAAGATATTCGTAAATTAATTTAACAGAACATTTTTTTTTCAATAACATTTCTTCCTTAATTTTCCAAAAATTAATTAATTAATTTTAAAATGATTAATAGAGTATGTTTATTATTTTTAGTATGTTCTGCGTGAAAAATTCCATGAAACCCTTATCCACGGCGGACTTTGGAAAAGTCATGAAGCAAGTGTATCCAAGGGTACGTCCACGAAGACTTGGAACGCGTGGTAATTCTCGTTATTGTTATGCCGGGATGCGAAAGAAAATAAAACTTGATCCACCAAATTTGCCAGTTATCGCCGGATTACCAACCGTAAGTTTTAAAAGAAAAGTATTTTTAAAATTCAAAAAAAAATAAAAACAATAGAGAAATTTTTTTTTAAAAATCTTATTTAATTTAGGACGATAACGCTGAGGAGAATATCACCGAGGAAATGTTGGGCGCTGCATCGACACTGATACGTGAATGGGCTGAAAAATTATTGGGTTTAAAATTTCCAACACTCAGTGCCTTGGGTCGATATTTAGTTGATAATCTTTTCGTCGACACACGATCTTTGGCTGCTGTTTGTATTGTTTGCAATTCGGGAACACCCGAGGCTGTTAAAAATGGTATATAATCTTCTGTTTCTTGCTGTTCATAATTTCACTATTATTCGAAAACAATACTTTTTTTACTATAACTTCAATGATTTTTTCAATTTTTAAAATATTGAAACCATTTTTTTAAAATACTGTTTTTAAAGCATTGTTTTTTAAAGCATTGTTTTTTAAAACACTGTTTTTAAAGCATTGTTTTTTAAAATACTGTTTTTAAAAAATTGTTTTTTTATAACACTGCTTTTTAAAACACTGTTTCTTAAAAAAACAATGGTTTCATGAGGGAGCAATTCTTAATTTCTCCTTTTTCATAAAGAAAAAATTGCGTTTTAAATAGCATTTTTGATATTTCTCTATTTGTTTTTTGAATAATAGAAACATCAAAGTCACCCAGTGATGGAAAACAGGGAAAAATGCGCGAGGCGCAATTACAATTGCAAAGGAAATTACAACAACGGGAGCATGTACGCGACCAAAAGCAGCGACAGTTGGAAAATGAGTCGCCGGTGAGTTAATCGCTGGAAGTTATTCAAACTTATTCTCTGGTTATTAATGCGGATTTGTCGCTGACTTTTAAGATATTCAAGGCTCTCTGGTTATTGAAAGGCAGCTGAAGCTAACTTAACTTTAAGCTATTCAAAGCTCTTTGGTTATTGAAAATCACCTGCATTTAATTTTAATCTATTAAAACTTTTTGTTTACTACTTTAAGCTTTTCTCTTTGTAGTAAAAAAAAGTGAGCGCAAGCTATCGAATACACAAACCAAAAATATCACCTATTTTCTTTTTTTTTGCATTGCAGAGTCAGAACAAAGAAAAGACTGTAAATAATAACAAAGGAGGACGAAAGAGTAATAAAAAGAAGATGACGACGCCGACGACGACAACATCAATAACAAATCAATCGCCGCAGGATGGAAGCGTTATAACGTCCATAAAGGGTAATACGACACCAATTCCACGTCAAAGGAAAGCCGTACGTAACAACAGTGATTATGTCTCCCAGCAACCTAACTGTGATAACCTAGTGGTACAATCAATTGAGAGTGTGCAAAAGACAACAGATTCCCTTCCAATAAAGTCAAGGAATCAAAGAAAGCGTACTAGTGGAGGAACCCCATCACAAGCGGATTCCAGTCCCGAGAAACAGGCAAAGCACTCCACCGCCGAGACGACAACAACAACAACAACAACACCGCCTGATGATGGTTCGTGCACGCCAATCCACGAGAGCGGGAAAATTCCAGTGATACTAGCTAATAATCGTAAAAACTTTAGTGAAGCTGCCGATAGTCAGCCCCCAAAAAGCTGTGATATTGATATACAATGCGCGAAATTAAATGGTCGCTCAACTGTCATGGAGCCAAAGACCAATAATGACGAAGAAATTCCCCTATTGGAGAATTCGTCACTCCTTCAACGAACCAATCTCGGTACAATTGATCCCGATTCTCTCGATGATTATCTAAATGGCGGTAATAATTCCCAAGAGCAGGAGGAAGAATTATTACAATATTTTCAACAAGGCGAATCTGATCTTGAAACTGGTATAATACCACCCAGTGCCGATTTATCATCATCCAGATCTGATAAAGTCTCCGAATTACGTTTCATTTTACATCAGAATCTTAAGGATATCACGCGATCGGCGACGAATCAAACGACCTCGACGCCTGTTAACATTCCCACGAAGCAGAAGATGACAAATCCAACGACGAATGTGAATATTCGAAGGAGAGTGAGTTTCGAGACTAGTGTCATTGAGCATGATTCAATAACGACGAGCAGTCACACGGTGCCTCAGAGTCCGAACACAAGACGACGGATCTTTAATTTTACACCTATTTCGCCGGGTCCGCATTCGCCGATCAATGGTCGCGCCTCGAAGTGTAATTCCGCGAATGCTTCTCCGTTTGTCTCGCCCCGTAATACACCAGTGCCGCGATCGAAGAGTAATCTTCAGAATGGCTATCGATCCCGAAGTGCTAAGAAAACCTTATCGCGCTCCATATCCTGCAGTGTGCCATATACCAACAAAAATGAAACCTTCGTCGTGCCGGAGAATACGAGACAAGTCGCTCGTTCGCCCCTCGTTCTCGCTAAAACGCATTCCGAAAATGCATCGCAAAATCGAAATCAGTTCCCAAGCATCGAACCGCAGAAGATTATTGGCAATTATCAGGAGAATCACTTTAGGGAAAACCTTCGGGTTCATCAGGAGATTAATCGGGAGATAAATCAGGAGATGAATCGGGAGATAAATCGGGAGATAAATCGGGAGATAAATCGGGAGATGAATCGGGAGATAAATCGGGAGATGAATCGGGAGATGAACCAGGAGATAAATCGGGAGATAAATCAGGAGGTGAACCAAGAGATAAAGAACATCTACCAAGAGGCGAAAACCTACAAAACCCAATCAGACCAAGAAATCTCCGAATTACTAAACGACGGCAAACAAAAGCTCGAAGTCTCCCAACAAGCCAAGGACCTCTACAGTCGTTCGCAATCGGTCCCCCTCTATCGAATGGTGAATCCAACTCTAATATCCCCAGTGTCCACCACACAATTTTTAGCCCCATTCCGCAGTTTTAATCCATCCACAAGCAGTTCGATAGCCCCAACACCAGTGCCAAGTGAATTCACCGATTTCTATTCAATCGACGCACCCGACGATGCAATGTACCTCCTCGAAGACGCAAATTTCATGTCCGACGATCATCAACAATTCCTCATGAACGACAAGGAAATGTCCTCCGAGAATATTAACAATTTTCTCAATATTCTCAATGACGAGCAAGAAATCTTGTCGCACAATGGTCAGGGTGTGATGGAAACAAGTTCCCTGCTACTCGACAGTCTACCAAATTCCTATCTGAATATAACAAATGATAGTGGAATCGATGCGGGAATTGTCATTGAGAATACGAATTTACAGAAAATGATGCAATCGCGTTCTTATCCGAATACACCGTTGCCATTGCCAATAACAACGGGATGTACATTGCCATTCACGGAGGATAGTAGCGGTGCATCGAGATCTTATCCAACGACGCCATTGCACAGTGTACAGGCGAGGGAGCAATATTCGGAGAGTAATGAGCCGATGCTGTCGAGTCCTACGATTGATACACTTAATTTGAGGGGCGATGTGACGGCGACTAATTCATCGGAAAGCGTGTGTCAGAGTGTTGCGGAATTTCTTGAACCTAGCTTTTTGGATAATGTGGAGAATGGGGATTTAGATGGACTTGATAGTTTTGAAGGACTGCAGGATACCCTCCCACCGCTTTTCAATGAGGTTGTTGAGCCGAATCGCTGAAAATTGGGTAATTGAGTGTTTTTGTATTTATAAAGTTGGACACAAGTTCGCTTAAGCTCTTAATGACCAAATGTGTTGTTTTTCGACTTGAATTTTAACCTCGTAGAATTATTTAAAAGAAAGCTAAAAAATAAGAAATAAACAAGGTCAATAAAGGGGACATTATTGCCCTAGAGTGATAATAAGTACTTTATTGACCTGCGAGCGGTCAATAAGGAGGCCATTATTGCCCTAGGGTAATAAATACTTTATTGGCCTGCGAGGGGTTAATAAAAGGACCATTATTGCCCTAGGGTAATAAATACTTTATTGGCCTGCGAGGGGTTAATAAAAGGACCATTATTGCCCTAGGGTAATAAATACTTTATTGGCCTGCGAGGGGTTAATAAAAGGACCATTATTGTCCTAGGGTAATAATAAGTACTTTATTGACCTGCGAGCGGTCAATAAATAGAGTAGTTATTACTTATAAATCATAATGAAGGATTTTTTTGAAAAATTTTAATTTACAATTCTGTTGAAATTAGTTTTAATAATTTAAAAAATTTTAACGCAATTCTTCGAAAGAATTCAATTATCTTATAATAAATATTAAAGTTCTTTCTAGAAATTCAATTATTTAAAAAAAAAATTTTTAATTCTCGTCAACTTTTTAGTTATCTTTATAAATTATAAAATTCTTCTACAAAATTCAATAATATTCAGGAATTTTTATAAAATTCATTGTAAAATTAAATTATTTTCATAAATAACAATATTCATAATTAGAATTCAATTATTTTTAAAAATTTTATTAAAATTCGTTTTCAAAAATTCAATTATTTTCATAAATATTATAAAATTTTCCGACAGGAATTCAATTATTTAAAAAAATTTTTGTTAAAAGTCTTCTCTAAAATACAATTATTTAAAAGAAATTTAATAAAGTTCTTCGCATGAATTCAATAATTATTTAAAAAATAATTTTAATAAAATTCATTGCAAAATTCAATTATTTTCATAAATAATAGAAAAAAATCATCACAAGAATTCAAATATTTTCAAAAGAAATAAAATTCAATTATTTTCAACAATTTTAATAAAATTTATTGCAAAATTTCAATTATTTTCAAAAATTATTCTTAATTTCAATGAAACTTTTTTTTTTTTTATAAAATTCTTCACCGAAATTCAATTATATTCATTACAAGAATTCAATTATTTTAAAAATTAATAAAAATCTTCACAGAAATTCAATTATTTTTAAAAAATCAAAAAAAAATTGTGTTCAACATTTTTAAAATAAATTCAATTTTATAAATAAATAGCAAAATTCTTCGATAAAATTCAATTATTTTGAGGAATTTCTGAAAAATTCATAGCAAAATTCAATTATTTTCAAAAGTAATAAAATTCAATTATTTTAAAAATTTTAATAAAATTTCCCAAAGAAATTCAATTATTTAAAAACAATTTTGACCAAATTCTACACGAATATTCAATTATTTTTTAAAATAATGAAAATTTCACTTGAATTCAATTATTAAAAATAGAATTTGCATAAATTTTTTCGAAAAAAAATCAATATGAAACTTTTTTTATAACATTCTTAGCAATAATTCAATTATTTTCATAAATAATAAAACTCATCGCAAGAATTCAATTATTTTCAAAACTTTGAATAAAATTCTTTGCAGAAATTCAATTATTTGCAAAAAATAATAAAATTGATTTTTAAGAAAAAATAATAAAATTCTTCGCAAGAGTTAAATTATTTTTAAAAATTAATAAAATTTTTCACATGTATTCAATTATTTTCAATTAATTATTTAAAAATTTCTTGATGAAATTCTTTATGAGAATTCAATTATTCAATAAATTATTATTTATTTTTGTATTTAAATAATTGAATTCTCGTAGAATTTTCTAATAAAAATTGATTTAAAAATTAATTTTAGTTAAAGTTTTTAGATAATAATTGAATTTTAGAGAAGTTACTTATAATTTATAATTTTTAGAAATAATTGAATTTTGTAATGGTTTCAAATTAAAATCTTTGAAAATCTGAATTTTTCATACTTTTAATTAAAAATTCTGTGGAACTATTTTTTTTCAAAAAGCAAAATCTAAATGTTTTTGAAATTATTTCAAGTTTAATCTTCTAATATATATTCAATTAAAGAATTTTAAAATAATTGAAATTTCACGTAAAATTTAATTGTAAACAAATGGATTTAAAAATTTTCAAAGAAGAAATTTATCAAAAATTATTAAAAATAATTGATTTAAAGAAGAATTTTAGTTACAAATACTAGAAAATAATAATAATTAAATTGAAATGATGAAAATAATTTTAAAGAAGTAGCAACAACATTCTTATATTATAATATAAAATAATTATTTTATCACTTGGTCATCTTTAATTATTATAATAATTTTTAGAGTGAATCAGAATATTCTTTAGAGTCAGGGAAAAAGTCAAATTTTTGTCAGGAAAACAGGGAAAAACAAAATTAAATTTTAAATTTAAAAAAATTTAAATTTTAAAATTAAATTGCAGTGTAATAATGGGAACTTTATTGACCTGCGAGCGGTCAATAAAGGACACTTTATTGCCCTAGGGCAATAATAACATTATTAATTCAAAAACAGAAAATTAATTATTAAAAAAAAATTTTTTTTCTCTTTTACAGATAGAAGCAGAAAATTTTGGTCCAATTCACTGCCAACGTCGGTCGGGAGGAACTTTGGTTTTTCTGATTTTTTCTTTTTCCTCTTTTGGTTCTTTTTTTTTCCCCATTACTTTCGCATGAGTAATGAAAATGAAGAAAAAAAAATTCAGAAAAAAAAAATTACATTGAATAAATGTAACAATATTTAATATTGCTAGTAATTGTTATGAACAAGAGGACAAAAAAGTAATTTTGTACAAATTACGTTTTAGGGACTTTTATAGGCCTGAAAAAAAGAAGAAGAAGAAGAAGTATGAAAAATCTGCCTCAGAGTGCAGGAAAAAAATTTTTGTTACCAATGATTGGTTTTCAAAAGAAAAGAAAAAGAATAAGAATAAGAAAAGAAGTTAATTTTAATATGGAAATATAAACCGTGGCTTTTCTGTGGTAAAAAAAATACTCACGATAGTTTTTCCAATTTGATTTCTTTTTTTTATGAAAAAAAAGACAAAATTCATTTTTTTAATTGTGAAAAAAAATAACTCTCCACTTTTTCCTAGTAAAGGAAAAATTCTGCTTTTGTCGACAAAGAGAAAAAATGATAAATTTTCGACCAAATTTTGATGGTTTTTATTTTAAATGTAAAGTTTTAACAAAAAAAAAAAAAAAAAAAAATGAAAAAAAGAGACGAACAAAAACAAAACGTATTTTTGTCTACAAAAGCATGTATTTAAATGTTAAAAATTCGTAAATTTATGGTTAGTATTAAAAATATTTTGTCTCGGACTAATTTGTTACCAATGCAATTTTGTTTGAAAAAATTTTGTTCTAAAATTATGTTTTTTAAAAATTATTTTGTTAAAATTAATTTTGTTTCAAAATAATGATTTGGCTCAAAATTAATTTTATTTAAAAATATTTTGTTTCAAATAATAATTTAGCTCAAAATTATTTTATTTTAAATAATTTTGTTTCAAACTCTTTTGTTTTGAAATTATTTTGTTTAAAACTTTTTTGTTCCGAAATTATTTTGTAGAAAATAATTTGCTTCAAAATATTATTTTGTAGAAAATAATTTGCTTCAAAATATTATTTTGTTGAAAATAATTTGCTTCGAAATTTTGTTTTAAAATAATTTGTCTCGAAATTATTTTGTTTCAAACTATTTTTCTAAAAAAAAAATTCTAAAACACATATTTAAACGTTTTTATAAAAAAAAATTCCAAAACACATATTTAGACGTTTTTATAAAAAAAAAATAATTTCAAAAAATGTTTTAAACAAAAAGCGAATATTTGTTGCAAAATATTTTACTATTAGAAAATGAAATTCTCTTTTGTACAGTTTTTTTTTAAATTGAGAGTATTTTATTTTAATTTTCTTTTATAGCAAAGAAAAACTTAAATTTCATTATAAAATTTAAGTGAACTTTTTTTTTAAAAAAAGAAAATTTTCGCCTACAATTTTATAGAATTAGCGAATCGAATTATTGTCCAAAGTTATAATATTAATTAATTTGGAAAAATATTTTTTAAAACGCTATTAGTCGTTATTAATAAAAATAAGAATAAGTGTAAATATAGTATTAATCGTGTTATAAAGGCACAAAAAAAATTTTTACCCTTACTGCAGAAAAGCCATAACAAAACATTTATTGTTTTCTCTTTAGAAACAAGAAAAAAAAAATTTTCTTTTCGAGAGAAAAGAAAAAAGAACGTCAAGAAAAAAAACTGGTCGAATATCCGTTTTTTTGTGACTTTTTGTAATAACAATATTATTTTTCTTCGACAATTATTTCTATATTGTTCGAAGAAATATGTGAAATGTAAATAGATTTATTATTTTTTTTTAATTATTATTATTAGTTGACTCACCTCTTTCAATGAGGCTAAGAATTTATATTCATCAATTTGTTTTCGTATTTTTTTTTTTTTTAATAAATTTACCCATTTTATCATTTTTTTTACTCTACATTTTTTGTCAATTTTTTTTTATTGTAATTTTTATATTTTCAATATTTTTTACTTCACCTTTTTTACACGAAATATTTTTCTTTTACAGAAAATTTCTTTTTTTCAGTGGTTTCGTTTTTTTTTAAAGAATTGTAACAGTTTTTTTTCTTTATTTAAAAAAAAAATTTTAGTATCGAATTTTTTTTTAATAATTTTTTTGTTTTTACTTTTTTTTTATTTTTTTGTTTCGATCTATTAAAGCAAAAAAAAAGTACCTTTTTCATTGTACGACGACAGTATTTAAAAAAGAAATAACACACACAGTGCAACATAATTCGCGCGATATTATTTTTGACTTTCCATAGGAAACAATTTTTTTTTTTTTTTTTTTTTATGAATTTTTCTCTGTCTCTATATTTCTCTCTAAAGTAGTTTTGAAATAACCGAAAAAAACCATACAAATTTCCCGCATGCTTCATTCTCCGTGGATATAATCGAAAGTAGATGAATTTACCAAACATATAGAAACTTGAATTTTGACGTGAAACATAAACTAAATAACAGACTCTTAGCACAAAATAATGAAAAAAAAAATAAAATAAATAAATAAACAAAAAAACAATAATGAAAATTGTCAGTTTTTGTCGTGGTGGCAATAAAATGGGTGCACATGTACTGTTTTCATATTAAATTGATTAAACGAAAGTAAATTGAATGTCTTTTGGTTTTATTTATGTAAAATCCCTCCCCCCTCCTATTTTAATGTCAAATTAAAAAAAATTCAAAATATCGAGAAATTTTTTAAAAATTTAACAGATTTGCTTCGAAATTATTTCGCTGAATTTGAATCTGATTAAAATTAAATTCAAGTAAAGTTAAAATTCAAAATGGCGGATCCAATATGGCGACTAAAATTTTAAGAAATTTACCAGATTTACTTGAATTTAAATTTTAAAGCAACTAAAATCTACTATTAACTATTTTCAAAAATGTTTCAAAATTCAATTATTTACAATTTATCGCTACAATTTTAATGAAAGAATCTCGATAGAATTCAATTATTTAAAAAAAAAATTTTTTTTCTAAAATACTTTGCAAATATTCAATTATATTTGAATAAATAATAAAAATTTCACAAGATTTCAATTATTTGAAGGACAGTTTTCAAGAAAATTTCTCTAAAGAATTCAATTATTTCAAAAAAAAAAAAAAATTTATAGTTGTCTTCATAAGAATTCGATTATTTAAAAAGATTTAATAAAGTTCTTCGTAAGAATTCAATTATTTTTGAAAATTGTAATAAAAATCGTTCCAAAATTTCAATTATATTTTCATAATTAATCAAATTTTCCAAGGATTTCAATTATTTTACATATAGTTTTCAAAAAAATTTCTGTAAAGAATTTAATTATTATTTAAAAACAATTTTATGAAAGTCTTCACAAGAATTCAATTGTTTTAAAAACTTTAATAAAATTCTTCGCAAGAATGCAATTATTTTAAAAATTTTTAATAAAATTCTTTGCAAAAATTAAATTATTTTCATAAATAATAAAATTTTACCAGGTATTCAATTATTTGAAAGACAATTTATTTAAGTCTCAGCCTTCAATCACAATTATTATTTAAAAAAGGTAAAATTAAAAACAAACGAAAATTTCGAAAATTCTTGACAATAAATACAATCCACACTTTCAAAAATACGAAATATGTGTCAAAACAAATTCGAAATATCGTCTATAATATTTTTTCCGATTTTTTTATTCAATTCTCTTTCTTTCTCTTTTTTTTGTCTCTCATATCAATTAACAGTGAAGGGAAGATTTTTTTTTTTTTTGACGTTAATATTAAGATTTACAATCTTCCGGGAATTCTTTTTCTTATTTACCTTCTAGTCACTTTAAAAATGATAAAAACTCACACACGTCGAACGTCGTTATTTTTTTTAAAGAGAAAAATAAAAGAAAAAAAAATTTTTTAATTCTTTTTCTCCGCTTTTTTCTTTTTTTTTATCTAGACTGCAAAAGTTGTTTCTATTTTTTTTTTTTTTTGTAAGTCTCGAGTATTAAGAAAAGAGAGAAATTTTCTTTTTCTGGGAAAAAAAGTAAACTTTTACAGTCTAGGGTAGAAAATAATTATACTGTACAGAAATTGAAATTTATATAATAATAATAATAATAGTAATTAGCAATAATAATAATAATCGAACCTAAAGTAGTTAAAGAATATTTTTTTGTATATCGACGGGTTCTTCTTTAAGATTACGTTCGAGTTTCGCTGGTAAATTAGAAGCCATTTGAACTTTCATTTTTTTACCCTCGAGAAGATTTTTCACATCATCAAAGTCCAATGTCTCGTATTTTAAAAGTGCCTCACTCAACATTGTCAATTCCTTCGAGTGTTCTTTTAAAATTGTTTTTGCTCGTTCGTACGATTCCTGAAAAAAAATATACTTTATCAAATAACAAATTTCTCTTTATAGAAAAAAATACAATAAAAAAATACAATCATGTTTTGAAAATATTTTGAAAATATCATAATTTGGAAAATTATGATTAAAATTTAAAATTATTATTCAAAAAAAGAAAATTTTCGTTTTTGTAATATTTGAATTGGAAATTCAAAAAAAAGAAGAAAACAAAAGAAGAAATATTACCTGGAGAATTAATTTCACTTCCTCGTTGACAATATCGTTTGATTTATCTTTGGCGATAACTCGGAAGCCAAATTTCGACGACATTCCATAAGTCATTACCATGCGTTCTGCAATTTTATTCGCATTCTACGAAAATAGAAATACAATATTATTAAAATTCAAGTTTCAATTGGAAATTTAGTTTTAAAAAGTTTTTCAATTTTTTATTTAAATTTTTCAAATTTTAGATTTTAGTCTTATTTTAATAAGAGTTTAAATTTTTTAATTTTAGAATTAAGAGTCTTATTAAAAATTAAAATAAGACTTTAAACTCTAAAATTGAAAAACTTGAATTTAAAATAAATTTTAATTGTGGGAATATTTTTTTTTTACCATTAAGTCACCGGAGCATCCGACCGTCACTTTATCCAAGCCAAAAACTAATTCCTCAGCGACGCGTCCACCCATCATGCAATCCAAATCAGCCAATAATTCGCGCTTTGTGTAACTATTAATTTCCCTCCTCGGCAAATAGGAAGTCTGGAAAATGAGATTTTCTTTCAATAAATTGAAATGTTTTTAATAAGAAAAATAAATAAATAAAACAGGATAAACAAAAATATTTAAAAACAATTTTTGAATGATAATAAAATTCTTCACAAGAATCAAATCAAATCAAATCAATCATTTTCAACACAATTTTAATAAAATTTCTCTAAAGAATACAATTATTTAAAAAGAAAATATTAATTAAATTCGATTAGTTGCAAGAGATTTAATAAAAATTCAATTATTTTCAACAAATTGTGATAAAAAAATTCTTCGAAACAATTCAATTATTTTTATAAATTTGTAAAATTCTTGGCAAGAATTCAATTATTTTTGTAAATAATAAAATTTTTCTGAGAAATTCAATTATTTTCAATACAATTTTAATAAAATTTCTATATGGAAAAAATTCAATTATATTCAAGATAATTTTAATAAAATTTCTCTGACAGGTTCAATTATTTTTAAAAATTGTAATTTAAATTTTTCTAAACAATTCAATTGTTCTCAAAAGTTTTTAATAAAATTCTTTGCAAAAATTTCAATTATTTTCAAAATTTTCAAGTAAAATTATTTTAAATAATTAAATTATTTTTATTAACATTAATGAAATTTTCCTTTAAGAAAAAAATATATATATAATTATTTACAAAAACTAATAAAATTGTTTAAAAGAATTTAATTTTCTAAGGATAATTTTAATATAATTTAATAGGAAAATTGTTAATTACAATTAATAAAAAACAGGATTATTTTAAAAACTTAAAAGAAATTCTTCTTAAAATTCAATTATTTTCAAAATTTTCAAGTAAAAATTGTTTTAAAAAAATTTCATTATTTTCAAGAATGTTGAAACAAATTTTTCAAAACAATTCAATTATTTTAAAGAATTTTAATAAAAATCTTGCCAAGAATTAAATCATTTTTAACCTACAATTTTAATTATATTTTCTCGAAAGAATTCAATTATTATTGAAAAAAATGTTGATAAAATTCTTAAAATGAATTTCATTATTTTCAAATTTATTTATAAATACTTTAGAAGAATTTATTGATTTTCAGTACATCGAAAATTCAATTATTTCTGAAAATAATTGAATTTTTGAATAGAATTTTCTTAAAACCTTTTTAAATAATTGAATCCCTGCAAAAAAAAAATTTATTATTTCTGCAAATTATTGTATTTTTTGCAAAATTTTCAAAAATAATTGAATTTTGGAGAAGAATTTTACAAAAATTATAATTTAAAATAATTTGAATTCCTGTGAAAAATTTACTATTTATTGATAATATTTGTATTCTTTAGAAGAATTTAAAAAAAAAAAGTTTAAAAATAATTGAATTTTTCCAGGAATTCAATTAAAATTGTATTTAAAATAATTGAATTCCAATGAAAATTTCGTTATTTTTAAAAATAATTTAATTCTTGAATTGGATTTTATTAAAAGTTTTTTTAAATAATTGAAATCCTGTGAAAAATTACAATTATTTTTTAAAATAACTTAATTTCCTCTTAGAATTTTTACAAGATTTTAAAAAATAATTTAAATTTTCGAAGAAGAAATCAATTGAAATTGTATTAAAAATAAGTGAAATCTTGAAATATTTTTAAATATTGATAAATATTTAAAAATATTAATTCAATATTTTTGGAAGCCATAAAATTATATAAATAAAAGATGTTTTGATTCTTCTGTTTGGCCTAATGGCTTAATAAGCCATTAGGCCAAACAGAAGAATCAAAACATCTTTTATTTATATTTAAAAATATTGTTAAATATTTTTAAATATTTAAAAAATTAAGCAAATAAATAAATTTAAAAAACGAAAAAAACACTCACGTGTCCTAAAGTGCCAGCTCGTGGTACGATTGTCACTTTATGCAAATTATTTGCATTTTTATTATAATAGGCAACAATTGCGTGTCCACTCTCGTGACAAGCGACCATCTTATTCATCTCCTTATCAATTTCCTTTCGATGCTCAAGGCCCATTATTATTTTATCCCTCGCGTACAACAAATCGTCCATTGTCACTTTATCACCATTGAGCAGTGCCGCTCTTAAAGCCGCTTGATTTACCTACAAAATAATTCAAATTATAAATAAGAATAAATAAAAGAAACGATTCAGAAAAAAGAAATAAATAAATAATTTTTACTATGAAGAGAAAAGCGAATTATTTTCAATGAAAAAAAAAGAAGAAAAGAAAATTAGTGTGAAATTTTTGAAAAATAAAAGATGTTCTCTCTCTCACCAAATTTGAAATATCAGCGCCTGTAAATCCTATTGTACTTTTCACCAGAGTCGTTAAATCCACCTCGCTGTGAATTATTTTCGATAAATAAAGTCTTAATATTTCATTTCGCCCGCTGAAATTTGGTTTGTCAATGTGTATTTGAACATCAAAACGTCCGGGTCTCAATAATGCTGAATCCAATTGATTTGGACGATTTGTCGCTCCCAATACAATTACACCTTCGTTTTGATGAAAACTGTAAAATTACGTCGGTTTTTATATGAGAAAATCAAATTAAATTTTAAACATTTAATTATACATGAAAAAATTTTGGTTTTTACTCAAAACTAAAATATACCTACTTTCTTTTAAAATAAAAAATATACTCTTTTTCATAAATAAATAAGAAAAAAGAAAAAAGCTATTATTACCAAAAGAAAATACAAATAAAAAAATTTATTTCTAAGAAAAAAAAATTTTTTTAATTAAATTCGTTTGAATAAATAAATAAAAATATTACCCATCCATTTCTGAAAGTAGTTGATTAATCGTCTGATTCGCGTATGGATGGAGCGCGGATGTTGTACGATGCGAACCCACCGAGTCAATTTCGTCAATGAAAATCACACACGGTGCTCGCTCCTTTGCAGCTTCTAAAAATATTATATTTCATTTTTATTCCTTTGCTTTCATAATCCTGAGCTTGTTAATTAATTAATTCGATTGTTAATGTTAATAAACTATTGTTAATTATTTTGTGTAAGAAAAATTTTAAAGTTAAACAACAAAAATTGGAAAAATTAATTTGAAAAAAAAAACAATAAGAAATAATTATAATGTTCTTTTAATAATATTTTCACAATTTTTAGTTAGAATTCTTCGAAAATTCGATTAATTTATAAAAATAATTTTTGAAAATAAAAAAAAAAAATGGTATTAAATATAAAATTTTTAAATAAAATATAAACAATAAATTTGACAAAATTTCCAATTGAATCAAAATTTAAATAAATATTTTTAATTTTTAAGAGAATTTCCCTATATTTGAAAAAAATTTATTTAAAATTTTTCAAAAGATTAATTTTTGTATATAATTTCTAAATTACATTATTTTTAGTGGAATAATTTTTGTTCATTAAATATATAAATTCTTTCTTTCTTTTTTCCCCTAGAATTAAAGTATCAAATAATTTTAATTTAAAAGCTTTTTGAATAATTGAATTATTTTGAAGAATTTCTTTGAAATTTTTTTTAAAATATTCGATTTTGTTGAAAAATTTGTAATTAATAATTTTATTATTAAAGTTTATTAAAATATTGTTAAAAAAATTGAATTCTTTTAAAGAATTTTGTCAGATTTTTCCAAAATATTTAAAATTGTTTGACTAAATTCTAAACTAATTTTTTTTTAATTGAAAATTTAGTTTTTATTTAAATTTTGAAATTAATTAAATTTTATCAAGAAAATTTCTCTTAATTTTTAAAAACAATCGTTTTTGTTAATAATTGTAATTAAAAAATTGAATTCCTTATAATAATTTTTTTTTAGTAATATAAATAATAAAAATTCTTGTGAAGAATTTTATTAAAAAATTCTTTTGAAAATAATTTTTAATTCTTTTAAATAATTTTATTAAAATTTTTAAAAATTGATTTTTTTTTCGAGAACGTTATTAAAATTTATTAAAATTATATTGAAAATAATTGAATTCTTGAGAAGAAATAAGACTATTTAACTTATTTTTTTATTGCCTGGTTGATTTTGCCAATAATCATTGACTCCCGATTATACTTACTAAACAATTCACGAACTCGTTTCGCACCCTGGCCAACGAGAATTTCGTCGAATTCCGAGCCGGCCACGTGGAAAAATGGAACTCCCGCTTCGCCCGCAACTGCTCTGGCTATTAATGTTTTTCCCGTTCCCGGAACACCCGAGAGTAAAACACCTTTTGGCAATTTACCCCCAAGTGCCGTGAATTTCGCCGGATTCTTTAAGTATTCAATCACATTCGCCAATTCTGATTTTGCCTCTTCAATCTAAAACACAATTTTTCTAATTTCAATAGTAATTCTTTTTCTCTTCAATACAATAAATAAAATCTAGTAATTAAGCAACAAAAAATTTAAAAAAAAATTAATTTAAAAACTTAAAAGTTTAATATATAATTAATTTAATTAATTTAAAAACCTAAAAGTTTAATATAATTAATTTAATTAATTGAAAAATTTAATTTCAAAAAAATTACATACGCCTTTCACATCCAAAAAAGTGACATTAACCATTTCGGCATCAATTTCCTGATGTTCACCAAATTGCATTCTAAATAATCCACCATTCGAGACACGTACTAAAAAAAGAAAATTAAAAAGAAATTCAGATTTAAAATTGCATTACATTAAATGTTTAATATTATTTTTTGTTTATGAAATGAAGTGTGAGAATTTTAATAAATATGATTGAATTTTTTTTTTTTTTTTTTAAATGATGATGATAATAAATAGTTACGGATAGACGCGCCTAATAGAAAGAGAACTAAAAATGCTAATACAACAACAGCGACAAATGATTGTATTCCTTTGAATAATTGTTTCACTCGATTGGGATTTTTTCGCGATTGGCCCTCAACGAAACCCTCGGCAAATGCCAATTTAACACGTTCCTCTGGCGTTAAATCCTTTCTCGTTTCCCATGCACTTTCATTGAAATCTTTACGTTTTATATGTCGCCAAACTGCATCTTGCTGAAATAATTTAAAGAAAAAAAAAATTAATAATTATTACGTTGGAATTTGTAATTTTTGAAAATTATTTCAATTTAAAAATTTGAAAGTTAATTATATAAATATTTGTAATAAAAGTATTTAAAAAATGGATAATTTAAATTTTTTTACAAGTCTGGTAAACTTTTTAAATAGAATTTAAAACGTAAATTTTAAAAAAAAATTTGAAAAGTTAATTTTAATGAAAAAATTTTAAAAAGTTAATTTTATGAAAAAATTAAAATTATCGATTTTTATTTTTTTTAATTTTTGAATTGAAAGTTAATTCTATTTATAATAAAATGATAAAAAATGGATCATTTTAATTTTTTCTAAGTCCATTATCCTTTTTAAATAGAATTTAAAAAGTATGTTTTTTGAAAAATTTAAAAAGTACAAATTTAAAAAAAATTTTATAAAGTAAATTTAAGAAAACTTTTAAAAAATAAATTTTTTAAAACTTAAAAAAATGCATTGTTTGAATACCGAATTATCAGGATTAGTTGTGATCCACTTTAAAAGCCTGGCGGTAATTGATGTTTTATTGCCCTCATCATTTTGAATATTACGTTGTGTTTTAAAACCACGAATTTGAACATCGAGAAATGATGTTTGTCCAACGCGTATTAAGCCACAATTTGATTTAAACGACATAAATGTTGTCGTATCATCATATTCTCTCAGACCTTGTTTATTTTCATTGAAATTTGATCCCGATATATAGGAAACATTCCATTTGTTTCGCTTTTTAATTCTCTTCTTAATTGTCACTTTAACATCGCCAATTTCCAATTCCCTCTCATTTCTGTCTTGTAATTTTAAAATATTTGGCAATTCAACCGCTGCTGTCAATATTTCGCCTGGCAATTCTGTACAATTTTTTTTCGCCTATAAAGAAAAATATTAATATTAATTAATTTAGAATAAAAATGATTTTTTAAATAATAATTTAGTTAAAATAATTTTTCTATGGGTTTCAGTTTAAAATTCTGAATTAAAACTAATAATAATTTACTTACTACTTTTCTTAATTTCAGTTAAAAGTTCTGAATTGTAATTAATAATAATAATTTTTAAAAATATTTTGAATAATAATAAAAATATTTTTAAAAAATGTTAAAAATGTTAAAAATGTTTTGAAAAATGTTTTGTTTTGTAAATAAGTGAAATTTATTGTTGATACAGATAAATATTTATCTGAATAAGGTAAAATATTTATTATTTATTATAAAAAATAAAATTAATTATTCAATTTTTTTCTATTTCGTTTTCTTTCTTATCAATTTTTTTTTTCGTTTGTTATTTAAAAAAAATTTTACCTCTAGAAAACTTTCTTGGCATAAAACGTCAGGAGCATTTGAAATTGGCTGATAAACACGAACTGCAATAGAAGACGATTTTGGTCTAAAACCATTTGTTAACTGCGTTAAATAATAGAGTGCCTGGAAAAATAAAGAAAAAATTAGTTTTTATTTAAAAAAATAAAATAACATTGCTTTTTTAATTATTTTTCGATAAAATATTTCTGTAAATTTTTTTTTTTTTTGATAAAAATTCGTAACAATAGATGATAATTGTATTTTTACTTATAACAATAAATAACAATTAATAATAAGAAAAAAGAATAATTAATAAGAAAAAATAATATAATAGTTGAAATAAAAAAAATTATTCTCAAAAATTCTAATAAAATTCTTTGAAGCAATTCAAATATTTAAAATTTTTTTTGAAAAATATTTCGCAAGAATTCAATTATTTTTAAAACTAATAAATTTTTTCACAGGAATTCAATTATGTAAAAAAAAAATTAATAAAATTCGTTGCGAAAATTGAATTATTTTCATAAATAATAAAATTCTTCTCAGGAATTCAATTATTTTCAATACAATTTTAAAAACTTTTAATAACTTTCTCGAAAAAAATAAATTTTTAACAATTTTAAAAAAATCTTCTCAGGAATTCAATTATTTCGTAAAAATTTTAATAAAATTTTCTATTTTCAATTATTAGCAAAAACAATTATTTTAAAAACTTGAGAAATTTTTTTGAAAAAAATCAAATAATTTCAAAATTTAAATAAAAAGTAAATTTTTAATTAAAATTTTCAAAAAAATTAGTTTACTTTTTAATAGATTTAACGAAATTATAGTCAAAAAAATTTTAATAAAATTTTTCACAAGAATTTTACTTGTTTTTATTAATTTTTTACTTACAATTATTAACAAAAACGATTATATTTTAAAAACTTGTGAGAATTTTTTTTTTTTTTGATAAAATTTAATAAATTTCAAAATTCAAACAAAAACTAAATTTTCAATTTAAATTTAAAAAAAAAATTAGTTTACTTTTAATAGATTTAAAGAATTTAGTCAAACAAATAAAATAATTTTCTCGAAAAATTTGATAAAACTTCTTCAGAAGAATTGAATTTTTTAAGAATATTTTAATAAACTTAAATAATAAAATTATTATTTACAAATTTTTAACAAAATCGATTATTTAAAAAAAATTCAAAGAAATTCTTAAAAAAAAAGTTCAAATATTTTTCCAAAAGTTTTAAGAAAATGTTTGGGAATTTAATTATTTTTAAAAATGTCGATAAAATATTCAATTTTAAGAAATAATCAATTATTCTATTAATTATTTTTGTATCTTAAAAATTAAAAATTATTTAAATATTTCGATTCAATTGGAAATTTAAGTCAAATTTAATAATAATAATAATTTATTATATTTTATTATAATATAATAATAATTTTTATATTTTAAACAATTTTTCGTAATTTTAGTTAAAATTTTTTAATAATAATAATAATAATAATTTTTATTTATTTATTTTTTAGTTATTTACTTAATTACATAAAAAAAAATAATTTTAATAATGTAAGTAAACATTATTTATATTTAGATTTTAGTTTTAATAATAATAATAATAAAAATAATAATATTAACTAATTCCATAAAATTGTTAAGGATGTGTGAAGGAGCTGATGAAATTGAAGAAAGCTTGGAGAAATTGCAGAGAAAAAAAATAATAATTAAGTAATAAATTGTAAAAAGTGTGAAAATTAAATTTGTTTATTATTTTAATAACAAATTATTAATTTAATACAGAAAATAGTAACAGTAGTATTACTATATTTACTGTATTCTAATAAATAAACATTTGAAAGGTTATAAGAAATTTCGCTGGCAAGGTTAAGTTAACATTTTTTGGCAACTGCTGTCAATGCCAAATATAATCTATTTAATAACAAATTCGCCATTATTTATTGCAATTTTTGAAAAATATTTTCTCTTCAACTATTTTTCAATCTTTTTTTAAATTATTTACATATTTTTAAAAACCAAAAAAAAACATTATAATCGAGAGAAAAAAAAATTTGACCCAAAAAAGTGAGGTTATATTTTTAGCATTATTTTCATTACGCGCAATTTAAAGAGAAAAAATGCGAAAAAATAAAGAATTTCGATTGTACTAATTAGATTTTGAGGTTAAAGTGAAAAAAATTGCAAATTCACATTTATCATTTCCTTGTGAGATAAGAATTATAATCTACATATTTTATCGATTCATGAAATGAATGTGAATGAATAATAATATCGAAAAAAATATAATTTCTTTTCTAGTATAAAAATTAGAATAAATTCACTTACTTGATTGTGTCCCTGGAACGAATACATTTTTCACTGTTATTTACAGTTTTTTTCCCCCTTTTTTCTTTTTTGTGTTTTCGTTTTTAATTAGACTATTTAGAAAGAAAATTTTGTTTCTCGTTTAAAAAAAAAATAAATAATTAAATAAAATTAACCCTATAAAAGTTTTAACTTGAAACTGTCAAAAAAAAAAAAAAAACACCGACACAAATTTCATCACAGATTGTTGAAGTGTCTCGTCGAACGACGTCGTCGTCGTAGGTCATCGTCGTAGACATTTGCTCGCGCACAAAATGAGCCGGAAATTAAAATATAAACTTTGGAGGGGGAGAATAATATTTGAATTTTCCCGCGTTTATTTTTGATGTTTTGTGTTATTTTCTTTTTTGTTGTTGTATTCTTATGGTAAAATTTATAAAGTTACGAATTTTTGTTTATTGCCCAAAAAATTATGAAGAGAAAGTGATATTTCTTTTTTTTTTTGTTTTTCGAATCATATTTTTCATATTTTCAACTGTTTCCGCTAAAAAATTTGTTGCGCGCCATCTACGAGCCAAGTGCAGCTAACTTCAGAGCAGAGAGCCGGACTTTTCGACTTTCGCATCTAGATAACATTTCTAGTTCGTGTTCTTTTTTCTTTTCACGTCAAGCACAATGGGTGAGTGTCGTTAATTTTTCCACATGTTTAAAATAATCGTTCAACATCGTTATATTTTTGATAAATTATTGAAAAATTTTATTTGCAAACATATTCTCCGTTTATTATTAACAAGTGTAGTGTTTTATTTGTGTTATTTTGATTGTGAATTTGTCGCGAAATGTTGAATCTCAATTTGAGTCAACGCTGCAACTCGTTTTACATGATGACAACAATTTTTTCAATATTTCAGGTTTATTTTCTATAAATACAATTTTGTTTTTGTTTTTATTTTCTAAATTTGGATATTTTTGTTTATTTTTGCCTGAGAATTGATTGAATTTTAGTTTAATTGAAAAATTTCCGTTTGTCAATTTTGTTTTGTGAAAAAGTGAGGTTAGGTTTCGAATAGACGAAAATTTATAAGTTTTTTTTCCGTGTATGGGAATAAAAAAGGTTTTGTCGAATGTAACTTTCGTTTTTTGGAAAATTCTTGAAATATTCGTAAATTGAAAAAAACGAAATGGCGATTTTGAAAATAGGAAAATTTTTTGCAGTATTTACTTTTTTCTGAACAAAAAAAAATTCTTTTACGAACGGAAAATTTTTGTGAATTTAATTTTTACGGAAAAATACTTTGAGATAAAATTTTTTCAATACGAAATTAATTTGTTGTTGATTGAATATAATTCCTACAAATTTATTTTAAAAAAACTCAATAAAATTTATTAATTTTATTGAATTTTTTTTAAAATAAATTTTTAGGGATTAAACTCTTTTTTTTTTACGAACATGATGAGCACCCTTACCTACTCAGAAATGAGAGTTGTTGATACTTTTCCCACAGCGTTCTGAAGTTTTTCTTTTAAAAAGAAAAAATAATTTTTCTAAAGAGAAAATTATTTTTCTGAAATTTGTTTTTTATAAAATTTATTTTTTAAGGTATTTCCCGTGATCACTGGCATAAAAGGCGTGCAACCGGTGGCAAAAGGAAGCCACTCAGAAAGAAGAGGAAGTTCGAGTTGGGACGTCCTGCAGCCAATACAAAACTTGGTCCTCAACGTATTCACACCGTAAGATCAATTTTCTTTCTTCTTTTATTTAAATATTTAAAATTAATATTATTTTTAAGAAATACTTGCCATTTTTACACATTTTTTGCTTTTTCCAGCTTTTTTATTTATTTATTTATTAATAAATATTTGTAAATAGAAACGTTTAAAGATATTAAATATTTATTAATAAATATAATAGGATAGAATAAGGTCACGATCAAAATATACATATTTTGTTAGACACAAAAGTTGTTGTCCAAAAACTTTTGTGTCTAAAATTTTTTTTACCAGATCTCCGATATTATGACTTTTTCAACTCCGAATTGAAAATAAATCATTTTTTCAAGTATTTTATTACACTTTTTGAAAATAACCTTCTAAAAAAATTTAATTGAAAATTTTGGAAATAATTGAATTCTCAAAAATTTTAATAAAAAATCTTCAAGTGTAATTAAAAAAATTTAATAAAAATGAAAATTAATGATAATTAGGTTGTAAAAATAATATTAAAATATTTTTGAAAAAACTAATTCTCAGAATTTTTTCATTCTAATTTTTTTAAGATTCAATTATTTTCAATATTTTCGATTACATATTTCCAAAAATTCAAATAGATACAAAAATATAACATTAAAATTTTTTAGAATCATTTTTAACATTTTGGAGAAAATAATCATATTCAAAATTTGTAATTAAAAAAATTATATTACAATATTTATAAACAATAAATTATTCAAAAATTTGATTATTTTCTTATATTTTTAAAAAAATTTTAAAAAGTATTTTCGAAGAACCTTATATAAATTTAAAATAATATAATTGATTTAAAGAATTTCAGTTAAAATTCAACAAAATAATTGAATTCTCGAAGAACTTAATGAAAGTTATTAAATATAATTCCGATTTAAAGAAAGATTTTTGGTTTAAAATTTTAAAAAATAATTGAATTTTCGAAGAATTTTATAGAAATTTAAAAAAATATAATTGATTTGAAGAATTTTAGTTAATAATTAAAGGATATAATTGAATTTTTCTATTTAAATAATTAAATTCTCGAAGAACGTAATGAAAATTTAAAAATTTAATTTAAAATTTAAAATTTTGGATAATAATTGAATTTTTGAAGAAATTTATAGAAAGTTAAAAAAAATATAATTGATTTGAAGAATTTTAGTTAAATATTCAAGAAAATAATTGAATTTTTGTATTTAAATAATTGAATTTTCGAAGAACTTTATAGAACATTTTAAAAAATATAATTGATTTAAAGAATTTTAGTTAAAAATTCAAGGAAATAATTCAATTTTCGAAGAACTTAATAAAAATAATTAAAAATAATTGATTTAAAGAAAGATTTTTTGGTTTAAAATTTTAAAAAATAATTGAATTTTCGAAGAATTTTATAGAAATTTTAAAAAATATAGTTGATTTAAAAAATTTTAGTTAAAAATTCAAGGAAATAATTGAATTTTCGAAGAACTTTAAATAAATTTAAAAAAAATATAATTGATTTAAAAAATTTTATTTAAAAGTTCAAGGAAATAATTGAATTCTCGAAGAACATAATGAAAATTATTAAAAATAATTGATTTAAAGAAAGATTTTTTGGTTCAAAATTTTAGAATTGAATTTTTGAAGTTACAGTAGCAATTTTTATATTTAAATAATTGAATTTTCGAAGAAGTTTGCGGAAATTTAAAAAAAATATAATTGATTTAAAGAATTTAAGTTAAAAATTTAAGGTAATAAATAAATTTTTGTATTTAAATAATTAAATTTTTGAAGAAGTTGAAAGTTATTTACCAATAATTGCTTTAGAGAAGAATGTTAATAGTCAAAAATTCTAGAAAATAAAATAATATAAATTCTTTTTTGTACTTTTCAACTATAATAAAACGACTTTTTACCCTTTAAAATCAATCCAAGGCCTGCTAATTACAGACGAAGTAAAATAGTGTAAAATTTGGCAAATAAAAAAAGTAAAAAAATTTTTTTTTTTAAATGATGAGTACCCTTACCTACTCAGAATATGAGATATGTTGATATTATTCCCACAGCGTACTGAGGATTTATTTCTTTTTACAATATATTTTTAATGTAAAAAGATTTGAATTAAAAAAAAAATAAAGAAACAAATTGTTTTTCGACAAAAATAATAATTATCTTTTTTTTTGTTTCTCTTTCATTTTTATTACGATTTCGTTGGATGGAAATAAAACAAGGTTCGTACACGCGGTGGCAACAAGAAATACAGAGCACTTCGTCTCGACACAGGAAACTTTGCCTGGGGTTCGGAGGGTCGTGCACGTAAAACACGTATCATTGATGTTGTATACAATGCATCTAATAACGAATTGGTGAGAACCAAAACTCTCGTTAAAAATGCAATTGTCACCATTGACGCCACACCATTCAGACAATGGTACGAGGCTCATTATGCCCTTCCTCTTGGACGCAAACGGGGCGCAAAATTGGTGAGAATTTTTGTATTTTTATTTCTTTTTTTGTATTTTTTTTATGTTTTTCCTTCACAATAAATGTATTATTATGTTTTATATTTTAGTAAAGTTTATTACAACGTATTTAGTAAGCTAACTTACTAATTACTTATTTAAATATAATTTATAAAATTTCAATAAGTTGTGTTTCTTTTACGAACTAGACCGAAGCTGAAGAGGAAATTTTGAATAAGAAGAGGTCGAAGAAATGCGAAGCTAAATACAAGTCGAGGCAAAAGTTCGCAAAAGTTGAACAGGCACTTGAGGATCAATTCGCCACCGGAAGAGTTCTCGGTAAGAAAATATGAATTACATTCTCATCAGTAATTAGAAGTTATTTTTTTTATAATCTATCAGTAAAAAAATGCTATTTCTGCTTTTTTCATTTTTTTTTAATAAAAGAAAATTTATTTTTGAAAATGTAAATGTTAGATTTTTCTGTTTAATTTATTAATTTTCCTTATTCAAGCTTGCGTTGCCAGTCGACCCGGACAATGCGGAAGAGCTGACGGTTATATTTTGGAAGGCAAAGAACTCGAATTCTACATGAGAAAGATTAAGAGCAAAAAAGCGAAGTAGATTTGTATACTTCAAAGGTGAATAAATTTAAATTTAAAGAAACCAATTGTATTTTATTTAATCCACAATTTTTCCTATCAAACTTTTTCCTTCTCCAAAAATTTCTTCTCCAATTTACAACAAAGCGAATTGTTCACCTTCATTCAGGGTAAGTTTTATTTTATTGGCTTTATGTTTTAAAGAATGTTTTGCTGTCGCTTGTTTCTTTTTCTCTTGCAGGGGAGTTTTTTTGTCAAGAAGGAAATATCAACTGTCTGGAGGATTCGACAATATTTCATGGACATTCATTTCATTCATTCATTTCATGGGCAATTTCAATGTTTTTTGTCAATTTCAAAGAAAGGGTATGACTGTATATTGAGAGGATTGTTTTAAGGTTTTATGTTTCTTTTAAATAATTGTTTTGTCTTGCATGATTTTATTTTATGTTGAAATGTGCATGATAAATGTAGTTAGAGTTTTTATTTTAAGCTGTGTTTTGGTAGTTTATTAATGCAAAAGAATTTAAGTTCAGTATTTTATTGTTTTGATACATTGCATTAAAAACAATAAAATACTGAAAAAAATCTACTTTACCGGCCGAGTGTTACTTGAAGATATTCAAAAGTTACTGCTTAGTTTCCTATGGTACTCGAAACTTTCTGGTTCTTAAAAAATACTAAAAAGAAACTTTTAAGTTATTCAAAGCTCTCTGGTTATTAAAAATCATTTAAAATTTTTTTTTATTTTAGGAAGGTATTTCGGTTTGTATGAAAAAATCAGACTACATTAAGCTTATGATTGGCTCTCTGAGCGACGTACTTATAAAGAAATCTCGACAAAAAGAGTTTTATCTAAATTACAATCAAGAACTTAAAAATTTAAGTGACAACAACGATTTTCTTAAACATAAATATCATAATAATCAGTTAACTATGACTAATACTTTGGAAAAATTTTATGGTTTACCAAAAATTCACAAAGACAACGCACATCTTGGACCAATTATTTTGGCCAAAATCACATACGAAGAGTTAAAAACTGCAATTTCATTCTCTACCAAAAGAGTTTTATCTAAATTACAATCAAGAACTTACAAAAAATTTAAAAAACAACTACGATTTTCTTAAACATAAATATCATAATAATCAGTTAACTATGACTAATACTTCTTTGGACAAATTTTATGGTTTACCAAAAATCCACAAAGACAACGCACATTTTGGACCAATTATTTTGTCCAAAATCACATACGAAGAGTTAAAAACTTCAATTTTATTCTCTTCCAAAATCTCAGGTAAACAATAGCTTTGAGTTAAAAGAAAGACAAAAATATTGCTACACTACAGAATTCTGTTTTACTTTCTCTTGATGTTAGTTCACTTTTCACGAATATTCCGTACGATTTAGTTATACAAAGCCTAGATAGAAGACACAATATTATTCACAATAATTGTAAGATTCCTTTTATTGATAATAATTCTAATTAATTTTTGTTTGACAATACATTTTTTGTTTTTGATGAAAACATTTATTAAACAAATTTATGGTACTCCGATTGATATACCAATAACGTCATGCAAAAGAACATTGTCTACAATTCTCTATTTTACTGTCTCACAAGTCCTCTCATAAAGAAAACATTAAACGAATTTTTAAAATTTTGCAAAAGAATTATTCTTTTGAAGTTATTCAAAAAAATATTTTAAAAAAACAATCGAATAATGTTGTTTGTAATTATCAGCAACTACCTAAAGTTTGTACTCCATTTAACAATATTTATTATATTGAATCGTTTATTTCGATAAGGACTCAACTCGGATTTTTTTTTAAATTTCACTTTTTTTCATTGACGTTTTCTTAAATACATCTGAAGTATTTTTAGCGGAGAAAAATAGATTAAAGTGTTTTTTCCTTTGACTTTTAACCTAAGTTTGATTTCTAACCTCATGCTGAATTGTTTTTGAGTTAAAAAAAAATTTAATACATTTTAAAATTAAATAAATAAATTGTTTATCGATAGTAAAACATTTAATTAATATTTTTTTATGATTAAAACGATTCAATTTTTTTTCGTGAATTTCGAAAAGGGCTCAACTCTGACAACTATAATATCAATTTTCTCCAACTCACTGTTATTGAGAAAGAATCAGACGGACAGTCAAATCAAAAGTTAGTCCAATGTCATAATTTTGTAACTTAAAAAGAAAAACGCAAATTAAATTTTAAATTCGTCTTGGTGGAAAGACGAAGAATTTAATTTTGAACATTTAAAACTATTGAAAGTTGCATTTGAATAAAAATTACAATTTTCTGTCAATAAGAAACATTTGTTAAATTTTAGGTTATGTTACTTAAATGATTTATTATTGACAAATAATTATAATTATTATTCAAATATAACTTTAAAATGTTCAAAATGTAGAAAATTAAATTCCTTATGCTTCTACTAAAAGGAATTTAAAATTTAATTTGATCTTTTATTTCAAAATACGAAATTATGACATTGGACTAACTTTTGTTCCGATTGTTTGTCGGATTCTTCCTTAAGGACAATTCTTTTATCATTTTGTCATATAAAATAGCATCCACATAGTTACTATGAAAAAAAGCTGGACTCTTTTAATTAAAACTGTTTAAAATGAACAGTTTTTTGTGTCTCCTGTAAAATTTCAAAAAACCGAGTTTGATCCATATCAATTTACAAAAAAATCCTTTAAATAAAAAAGATGATATAAAAAATCTTAATTTTCACTATTAAAATTTCTTCCGAAAAAAATAAATTAATTTCATTATTAAATTTTCATTTACTTTCGAGGACACTTCTTAAAAAAACGATTGATTTCTGAGATGATTTATATTAAATGCAATGATTTTACTTATAATAAGAAGAAAGATGTACAGTTTCTTAGTAATGCTTATTTTCCATTGCTTAATAAATTGAGGTAATGATTGTAATTCATAATATTTCAATTGCGGTTCATTGACCTTATTTTCCGTATAGGTATATAATGTGAAAATTGTCATCGACTTAGTTTGATTAATCACTTTTAACTTTAAAGTTATTGAAAGCTCTCTGGTTATTAAAAGCAATTTAAAATTTACTTTTAAGAAATTCAAAAATCTCTGGTTATTAAAAGACATAAAGTTAACTTTCACCTATTTAAAACATATATGAAACTATTTTCAAAGTTTGCTAATAGAAAATATTTTTTAAAACCGTTTTTCATCAATTTCATATCCAAAATAGTAACAAAAAACACTTTGTACTAGAATTTACGTTTGTAATTTTATTTTATAAGTGATTTTATTTCATTTGTAGACGTAATGATAAATCAGAAATAGTCGCAATGAAATGAAATTATGCGTTTTTCAAAGTACAAATTAGTCATAGATAAGGTAACAATGCTCGGCCTAGTGATCGCCTGCAAAGTCGTATCAACAATCCTTTATTTTTAGCGCACTCTCTATGTCGACATATACATATATACGCATATACGCACGTGAATGACAAACACGTGGTAATTGACCGATCGATGATTCATAATTATACACTTATATTCAAAAATTTTAAAATGCGGGTTTTTTTCTGATAAAAATTTCAAATTTACACCTTACTAACGGTTCATGCATATATATTTATACTTTTGTTTCCCGTATAAAATTTTTTAAAAGAAAAGTGTGCTTTATTTCATTTAAATAAAGAAAAAGAAATTTTTGAATTATATACAAAAATACTAAATTTTATTTAATCGAAAATTAGGGATTAAATTATTTTACGGTAAATTTCTTAGGTCGGTTAAGGATTTAATCATTGATTAACTATTTTAATCAGAGTTGGTGAAACTGTCCCTTAGCCTTTAAGATTAAAATATAATTATATTTGATGATTTAGAAAAAAATCATTTCTTGGTATAATTTGTTTTTCTTTTGCATTATTCCACACTATTCTTGGAAGGAAAATAAAAAATATAATTGTAGGACAAATTTTATTTGTTTCTAATTACCCGTAATTAACCATGTAAATCGTTAAGAAAGTTTTTATACTTAAAAAGAAGGCAATTTTGAACTTGTTTCTGTTGTTTTTTAATTACTATATAAAATAGTGTCAATTTCATGTCGCAAGAATAATTTTTAAGTGTTGGAAAAATAACATTATTCTATTTGTAGAATGACCTTTTGGAAACGAAAATAGCAAATAGAATGTTTACCATTCAGAAACGTTTTATAAAATATGTTTAAAAAAACATTTATATTTATAATTCTTATGTACACTCATCAAGTTAATTTATAAAATTGTTTTCTTTTCGGTGACTTGATTATATATTTTTTATTTCTTTTTTACGGAAGTTAATTAGTCATTAAATAAAATATAAATTATAATTTATAAAAAATATTTACACGATATAAATTATAATTTATATTTTATTTACAGACTACTTATAAATGAAATTAAATTTTCATTAAAATATCAACTTGGATTGAAATCTTTTCTTTTTTGAAATGATGATGAAATATATTACAGGAATTGAGATAAAACACATCCTTTTGAAACGATCTTTGTTTGTAATTATGACCAATTTTTTTCAGGGAAAGAATAATATATCAAACAATGAAAGTGATGTACGAGCGCATTAAAAATTACAATGATGATGAAGAACGATAAGTTTGAATGAGAAAAGAAATGAAAAAATTTATTTAAAAATTAAAAAGAAGGGTGAAATATTTTTTATTGCATATTCGGTTTTATTTTACACCGAAGAGAAATAGGAAAAAAAGAGAATGACAAAAAGTATATAATATATAATGGTTTTAGAGAAAATTACATTTTCAATTTCGCAGTTCTCGGGGAAATTATGAATAATTAAAAAAATAACGATAGAGACGATTTCAAATGTTTGTAAAAGGAAAACAAAAGGTATTTTAAATTTCTCCCCAAAGAACATTAGAGAAAAAGAAATCTCGCTCTCCATAGAGACAATTAAATTTTACACTGTCTCCTTGATATACATCAGTCACTTTTTTTTTCTTTTCTTTTTTAAATTTCAAACGAAACTTTCTTC